GTGGTCTTTTCTTAGTGATGCAACAAAAAATTGCTTTTACTCTGAAGTTGTAGAATGTATGTTGCAATGGGGACTATGTGCTTCAGCAACAACAAAAAAAGAAAGATGTACAGAACAAATCTCCCTTACCTCCCAGATTGATTTTACAATAGTGGTACAAAAGATATGTTTATTTTTTGTCAATGAATGATTATTGAAATGATAGAATACAAATCTTACTGAATGATCTGTACAACTAAAGAATCACAACAGTATTAACCCCTCCCCCTGCTGCCTAATCCCATGACCAATACAGATTTGGTGCCAAACAGAAACCTTAACTGGCAAAAGGTTAAAAGATACAGTATGATGCATGAAATAGTTATGTCTTCCTCTGAGGCAAGACAATTGCTTGTACAACATTAATAATGGATGTAATTAATAACAGATGTCGTTACACAAATTTACAAGTATGTTAATTTTTCCTCTCCAGACTTGGTACTATTTCTGCCATTGCTGTTGAATGTTTGTGCTTGTTTCCTGTCTGCGTGAGGCTTTAGTCCCAGTAATCATACATGAGTCAGGTACTTTCCTTTGGTTGTAAAATATTTGATGGGTCAGGCCGTTAGTACCCACCCTATGATTCTGCAGCTCCCTCTGATTGATGGTTTCAGATATCATTCCTGAATAGAAGGGAATTCCACAGGTAAAGTTTGTTAGCCCCTAACGAGACTGAGAATTAGGAATGCCAGCAACTAATTAGCCCCTTTCCCAGCGTGAGGAGACAAATTTGGGAGGAAAATTTCCCGGTCGGCGCAGCAGACAGCCGCTTATAAGGTAGAGTCAGGGAGCTGTGACGAAGCTAGCGAGAAATAACTGGCAGGATGAGCAGACTGTCAACATGCCAGTCTTCTACAGGGTAATTAAACTAGGCACCCGTGTGCATTAGACCAACAGTCAGGCTCATCATCTTCTAGTCAGATTACTTGTGGAAAGTGGACAGATTCTTTCTTCTGTTCTCATTCCGATGCAGGGAAGGACTGGGGGTACTTTTTATCTAGCCAAGCACAGAGCCTAGGCCCCATTATTGGAGCTTTCTGACCCATTAAGATCAGGTGACAACCAACCAAATCCTCCAAAAGATTTGTTATATGTGAACCTACATGTAATATATGTAACAAGTCTGTTACAATCCTTTTTGGTGTTACATGTACATAATACTCCTTCATGAAGTGTTAGATGAACTACAGAATTGATATACAAGACATGGTCAACTACATGATTATTTTTAATGAGTAGATGTGATTAAAGATTTCCATTTTCCCCTTTAACTGTTGCTTTAACAACTGTGTATGTGAGAGCGAACCGCCCGTAAACCCGCCTTTTAGATTTGAGCTAAGGCCAGCGAACAAAACTAACACTGCTATAAAAGTAATTGGTACTCAAAGATACTGCTGAGATTTGTGAAACTAACTAAAAACAGCATCTTTTCAGTGTGAAATTTATCTATGTGCTTCTGATGTTTGTGACACAGTAAATTTCTGCTGTAATGCATTTTTCCTTAAGTCACATTTAACACGCTAAAGGCCTAGCCTTCATCCTTTTCTGGTAAATGTGTGTTTAGGAATGACTCTAGTAGCTTTTAGATGTTTATGAGTAGAAAGCTGCCTGAAGCTTGCCTGTAAAAAAAGTGTGAGTTTTACATGCTGTACTTACTCCAGGCTGTCATGGCAATGGTTGTTGGTATGGTATAAAAGGCTATCAACGCATCAAGGGATTTCTCCAGTTTTACCGTAGTTCGTAAGTTCTTGTGAGTCATTGAAAGGGGGCCATACTGTTGAAAATGTGAAGGAATTGTTTTGCTTAGTTATGCTGTTGAATCCCCACCCCCAGTCTTGTTGTGGCCGCAGATTTAGCCCGCCCAGAAATTGAAGTTTTTCCATACGATGATTGATGCTGTCAAAGTTTTTCAATTTGCTGCATCACTCAAGACAGGTGAGCTTTACGTGGCCTGGGGGTGTGCTTACCAGGACATTCATTCCTGACTCTGCCGGCAGCCTCTCTCCCGTGGTACCGACCAAAAGTGCAAAATACCCTTTTAATGTTCACTCAGCAAAATGTGTTAAGCGCTGCTCCAACGCAGCCGTTTAGTGCATTTAATTGAATGAGCACAAGGTGTTGAGCCAGGGAAAGCCGGGCCTGCCGAAAGCCCACCCTGGCATTGAAAGTGACGAAGGGGACATTCCACCTACCCGAGCAGAAAACCCGCTCAGAGCGTCCAGCCTCCCCGAGGGGCCGTCTTCCCCCGACTTTTTGTCCCAAACTAGTTAAAATCCTTCGTCATCTTCTTTGCGTGAAGACTCTGCGTAACTAGGATGAGGCTGCTTCGCGGAAGAAGGCAGCCTTGCATGACAATGTGGTGGAAAGGTCTGTGGAAGGCCCAGAGGGATAAGACTTGCCTCCCGTGTGTGCGCTGAGTTGTTGTCTGGAGAGAGGGATGCGTTTTGCGCCACGTATCTATCCATCTTCCAGCCCCATTAATGGAGTCTTATATTGCCAGAACGTTGTGTAAAAAGGCCCCCTCCCATGGAGCCAATTTGGCCCTCACTTTCATCGTACTGAGCATTTTTAATGCACATTGTTTCAGATAATGGACCACGGCCCCCCAGTGTCCTGGGACGACATCGCGGGGCTGGAATTCGCCAAAGCCACCATCAAGGAGATCGTGATTTGGCCGATGCTCAGGCCGTAAGCGCCCATTTGCTTCAAATCACCATGTATTCCCCCAACTTTCCCTGTACTAAGCGTATTAGTCACCGCTTATCTGTGGATGGGATCTGCTTAGGTAGCATCCCTAGTCTGACTCCAAAACAGATTTTATGGCAAAATAATGAATATCTGAGCAGATTAGGAGAGGAAATGTGTGTTTTCTGTCTGAGGTAGGGTGAAGGTGGCAGGATTGAGTGGTAGCCAACTCCTCCGAGAGCGCCAGAATTTTGTACGCTAGAACGGACGCGGATGTGTGCCCACTGAGAACATTACATGGATGGAAATGAGCTAATAATACAAGTTGGGCCCTATAAAAGGGATTTCAGCTAATACATTAGAAAATGACAGGCATTAGCTTTGGAGACAGGCATGTTTTGACCGGGCAAATTAGGAATGTTCAAGCTATAGAGTAGAGTCGTGCATACAAATACACGGCGTACATTGCGATATGATGTGCTACGTGTCTGATTGTGCATCCATTTGGCTCTCTTGCTAACCCTCGAAAAGACCACTGTTAGAATGTCATGACGTCATGCTTTGGTTGAAAGTAAAATATTAGGCCAGATTTGTTTGGTCGTAAAAGCTGCCTTTTATATGGAACATTCCTAAGACCACCAGGCTACGCTCTCTTTTTATCGTAGACAATCCTGCCACTGAAAGATTAAGAATTATGATATATGTTGACGTGCAGTCTTTTAAAGTAGAACTTCAGTTTTTGATGTTTAGTTTACTACATTTTCCGAAGTACCATCCAAATTTTGGGGGAATGAATAATACATAAATATACAATATATAAAGAGAGATGAATAATGAATTAGTATGTTTTTGTAACCTCCTTAGCAGGCTCTACGATTCAGGTTTTGGGGGGATTAGGATATGATTAATTTTTTTCTGATGTTGGGCCTAAAAGCAACTGAACAAAAGCAGATTATTAGCCCAAAGCAACCCTAACTTGTACAGCCTGCTGAGGAGGCTACATTTGTACCTTAAGACTGACCTTGTTGATGTTTCTTTTTTTGAAAATAACCTTCAAAACATTTTGTCAAGTTGTGTTCTCCTTTTCCCTGTGGCAGGGACATTTTCAAGGGGCTTCGAGGACCTCCCAAAGGGCTTTTATTGTTTGGGCCTCCTGGAACAGGAAAAACCTTGATAGGTAAGCCTTCTGTTGTCTATGGTCAGGCAGTAAAAAGCCCATTTTGCACAATGTATGTATTTGTCAAAATGTTCTGCATCAAGAATAAACGATATACATGTATTGTATAACATTTCCTTTCTTAAAAAGATATCCTCTGGCCAATTAATAGAGGAAATAAATCAGTTTAGATCTACATTGTTGCTTAATGAAAAATTATGTCCAGAAATCTGCAGGAAAGTAGGGAAACATATTACACACACTCACACATGTCATGTACATTAGTCTCTACCAGACTCTAATGGGTTGCTGGAAAATAGTAGATTTTTCCAGGTTAATTTGCCAGGGGATTCCTACCTCCGGATAACTCCTCTGGCAAATTATTCAGTATTTTTGGCCAAATTTACTATTTTCTAGCAACTCATTGAAGTCAGGTAGAGACTAATGTACATGCACAGGTCAGTGGTTGGCTGGTAATAGGTTATCCTTTGTCATGTCTGTCATGCAAATATTGTACAACCATGACAATTGACCATATGTCCAACCTGCAACAGACTGCACATTTTCAAGTTGATTTCACACCTACTGGACTCATTTTGGTTAATTACTCCAATATTACTTTACATGAGATTTGCTATTAGATAGAGATATATTACATGTATGGACATGGATGGAAACATTATAATTTATAGTTGGAAGGTTAAGAGTACATTTTTATAGCACTGGGAAAGGTTGGTTTCTAGTTAGCTACATGTAGTTGTAGTACTAGTATTTATTAAACAGTTGTACATGTAATGTGATATATTTACTTGTAATGATCACTGGAAAAAATATAGTGTATCTAGATGAAAGATGAAAATCATGTTTCAACCCTTTTGGTATCAAGAAAGGTTGGTTGTAAATCAGGGAGTTGCATGTACATGTAGATGTACTGTACATGTACATATATATATATATCAAACTGTCAATGTCAGTGAGTGTATATAAGGAAATGTGATAATATCCTTTTAGCTATAGAAACGGGTTTTAAATCGGAGTCGTAGAATACATGTATCTGTCAAACAGTTAATAATGTTGGTACGCATATATAATGAAATGCGATCACTGGTAATATTGTAGTGTATCTATTAAAAGCTGAGGATCACATTTTCAGTCCTTTTGGTATTCTGAAATGTTGGTTTTAAATCAGGGAGTTGCGTGTATATATCAAACTGTTATAATGTCGGTAAGTGTATATAGTGAAATGTGATGACTGGTGGGGCCGAGATTGCCCTGCACTGATACTCCATCATGTACCGCTGCCAGTCACATTTGATACCCAAACATGAAGAATATGAGGCGACACAGCCAACCTGGTTATAAATTTTACATGGACCTCTCTCCTGTTGACAGAAGTGTGGGTTACGCGTTTGCTGTGATGTTGAGATGCCTTCATTTCTGTCAATGCAGGCAAATGTATAGCAAGTCAATCCGGAGCCACTTTCTTCAGCATCAGTGCTTCTTCCCTTACGTCGAAATGGGTAAGCCCTCACACACGTACACGCACACACGCCACTAGCCAGCACGAAGAAATAGGATCTCCATTTCGCTTTCGAGCTGCCTTTTCATTCTGGTGATAATACCCCACGTATGATTCTGATCGGATGAAATCCAATCGGGTTTAGAAGTTGTTGTAGTCGGGGCATGCGACATCAATTGATGAAGTTCAGAAAAGGCGGATTTTGTTGTAAGAAATTCAATCGCCGGTGGTGATCGCCCAGACTCAAAGGCATGAGTGGTAATCACCGAACACGAGCTGCATCAGTCGTGTGTCACCATGTATCAAAGGGAAGGTCGGTGGCACCAGAGGTCGCCGGCTATCCCCAAATTATACGGAAATTGTCAAGAGTGACTAACGAGTTGATTTGTCTCTCGCTTTTCTGCCACGCTAATGGATAGGCGAGGAAGGTACGGGTGTGTTTTCTGTGTCAGTGCTCGTGTGTCGGATGCATGTGCCTCATGTGGAAGAGCGTTAGGTGACCAGTCATGTGAGATGCTGTGCCAACCTAAATGTGCAGACAGACGCACACAGATGGACATAATGGCCAACTGTTCAAACTGCTCGCAGACTTGTAATCCGTTAAACTTTACAGATGAAACTCCTTAAGTCTTCCTGGCTGTAGGGACTTTCGTTTGCATACATCCAGTCATAGTAATACTCTTATTTTCTGAAATGCGCTTACATTTTGAAAACTTTCATTTTGGCAAACTTTTCGCAAACTTTGAAAACTAGATAAGCTGCTATAATCTTTGAAATGATGTAGTTTAGTCCCTCATCACAAGGGGGCCTCACAGTATTGGCTTACTACCTGTTGTCATCAAATACAACTTTTGCAGTTGTATAGAGTTGATCAGCCAATTTTGAAGATCTGTCACAGACATCGAGTCATTAGATTTGATAAGAAGAAAACAGCAAAGAAGTTATTTAGCTGTACATAAATTGTTAAGACCATTTGAGCCATGCGAGTGATGGGACCATTGAGCAACGAAAATTGGATTTAATTGACCCTTAATTTTGTAATTGGACTATGATGCACTATGTTTTAGTATGATTTAAAGACAACAAACCACACAAAACTGGAAAATTTGTTCTTTATGTATGTAATTCTTTTTGTTTAGAAAAATTGTTCTTTATGTATGGAATTCTTTTTGTTTAAAAAAATTGTTCTTTATGTATGGAATTCTTTCAAATAGTTGATTACTCAATGGTTTGCTCAGCCTCCAGTGGAAAGGGGGAGCCAAGAAAATTAGCTACAAATGCTAAGAAATTGTTCCTAATGGCCCTTCCCTTTTATCTCCTGCAGGTGGGAGAGGGGGAGAAACTGGTCCGAGCGTTGTTTGCAGTAGCCAGGTGTAACCAACCAGCTGTGGTATTTATCGACGAGATCGACTCGCTCCTGTCATCGCGGGCTGAGGGCGAGCACGACGCCTCACGCAGAATCAAGACAGAATTCCTGGTGCAATTTGTAAGTCTGGTGTCCAGTCTTGAAAACACTACTTGATTTGTAAGAAAATGCAACTGCACATGGTACTACATTTACCCATACTTTACTTTGATGTGAAGTGTTAAGGAAGAGGGAAGAAGCACCAAAGAATGTACTTGTTGGGAGAATAATCTTTGTTAAACTGATTGTGATCTGTGTTGTTGCCATTCTCACTGTTATAATCCATTATGTTATATATCCAGGATGGAGTTGGGACAAGTTCAGAAGACAGAATTCTCATAATTGGTGCTACAAACAGGTAAGGACACCAGAAGTTGTCAAAACACAAAAATATCAAGACAGACTTAGTCAACATTAATTGCTTTGTTCTTTTGACCAACTGTACCAGCAGTGGCCAGTTTTTTTGCGGAGGTTGTCACTAGCACAGGTTTGATTGTTATATACAGTATAATACAGGTATAAACATCTGACTCAGAAATAACCTATAAGGCTATGGTAAGTTGACAAGTTGTTTTGGTGACCATTTTCAGACCGCAGGAGATTGACGAAGCTGCGAGACGTCGTCTGGTGAAGAGGCTGTACATCCCCCTGCCTGACTACCCCGCACGCTGCCAAATTGTGCACAGTCTGATGTCCACACAGAACCACAGCCTTACAGAGGACGACATCAGCATCATCTGTCAGAGAGCTGAAGGTATGAACAGGAATCCTAAAGTAAGGCCACACCGTGCAAAAACCTAACGAAACCAAAGTCTCAAGACCAGGTTTATGTCTTAGGGCAATCAGTTTCATAGAGTAAGCACATTCATGTTCAAGATTTTTCTCCCTCTCCACTGCTTTTATGATATCTGCTTTTTGACCTCAAAATGTCTGAAAATCAAGGAAATAAAGTGGTGTGGCCTAATGTGTAGATTTAATACTATATTTGAAGCCTTTGATATGAAAACCTAACATTCAATACATGCAATAACAGCTCTCCCCCAACAAAGCTACCAGTCAGTCTAAGACAACAGTACAACAGGCAGTCAGAGATGGCACGCCCTCGCGCAGTTGGCACCCTCTGGCAGAACAAACAGAAACTGCACTGCAGAAAAACACAGACAAACAGTTGTTGATTGCCACAGTAGACCATTAGTGTAATGTTGCTCAAGGTTGTAACAATGCATATTTGTTGCAGGTTACTCTGGAGCTGACATGGCCAACCTGTGCAGAGAAGCCGCCCTGGGTCCCATCCGGAGTATACAGGGCTCCGACATACAGAACATCACTCCTGATCAGGTGGGTCAGAATGGATACAATACAGGGAACCAATATAACAGGTGGTCACTATGGACAGGATTCTTAATGTTTGTGTCATTGGGAAAAAGGGTGGTCACAATGGCCTATATTGTATGCCTAGTATTATCAGTAATGAGTCAGAAGTAGTAAGAAAATCGTGTTATTGTTAAAAATTTTGATGTTAGCTAATGTTAGAATTTGTACACTTAGATTTTTTTCTGTGCATCAAATTTTAAGTTAGGTGTACCAGTGCACCGATTCACATGAATGAATTTCGAGACCTGCCGATATATTCTTATTGATCTGTTCTCTGCTTTCTGTAGGTGAGGCCAATCCTGTTCAGAGACTGTGAGGAAGCCTTTCGCCACATCAGACCAAGTGTAACACAGAAGGACCTGGACTTGTACGTTGAGTGGAACAAACAATTTGGCAGCGGCGCCACCTAGGAAAAGCCTCTCAAACTACAGGAAATCTTTGGAGCACTTTGAACAAAGAGACAGTCCAAGAAGCCCCTCTTGCTCCTACTGCAGCCAAAGCAAGCTTCTAGCTAACTCAATCAACCAATGATTACTGATTAACCAAAGCTAGTTAATACTAGTTGTTGCCATTTTTCCGTGGTTGTGTTTTGTGCTTGTGACCAGTGCTATAAGCCGAGTTGAGAACTCCTACCCGAAAGCTGTGGTGTAATTTAGACTTTTTTGTGTTTTCATCTTGCGTCGTGGACTTCTACCCCACATGCTACCTCACAGTAACAGACGGCCTGCCTTATTTTTTGCTCAGGGTGCTTTTGTTGCCCCCCTCCCCCTTTTATGCTGTACATTTGCACAGTCTCCCATACATGTATGTGACACTTTCCAACAAAACCTCGCATTTTGTATAGTGTATAGAGAGCTGTGCATAGCCCAAAGCCAATTGGAAAAACAGGGTTGTTTTCTAACATAGGTTCAGACAGTACATATTAGGAAGGAAGGTCGACCTGATTTTTTAGGTACAGTGTACGTAGATACAAGGGTCTGTCAAAGGAAGGATTGAGCCACAGAAACGTTAAATGCCATTCCCTCTGACATAACAAAACCATTGCCAGAGTCACATCCAAACATCTACTGTCAAATGTCTATCAGCTACGTTTCTTCTTTGTAAAGAATGTCAGTCAAAAGTCTGTGGCTGCGGAACATTCATAACAGATATGCAAACTATCAACTGAGAATGTCACCTTTCATAGTTTCTATCTGAAATGTTGTTTTTTTTTTTTTTTTTTTTTTCAAATTCTTAAGCACTTGCATTGAAAAAGGGAAATATCTACTGTCATATATAACTTTGATCTACTGTCATCTAGTGTCAAAATCTATTAGACTGTAACAGGTCTCTATCTCTATATAATTTTTACTGTTAAAATGACATCAAACCTTGTGACCTTTTCCTCTTTTCTCTTTTTTAAAATGTTCAGATTGGTGTGGTCAATGTGACCACTGATTTCGCCTGTGAATAAAAGGGTTGACATTTGAGTCGGAATGTGCATATCAAGTGAAGTTAAAAATGCCACAAAAGTTAAGTTCCAGCCAGCTGGTCTGAGTAGATGTTGGTGTGAGTCGACTGATAACTGATGCAGCCATCCTTCTGTATTGTATTGTCATTGCCTATATAACTCTTCCTGGATATCTACATGTGTATTGCGACTGCCTTGCCGACATATAAGATACACACACACACACACACACACACACATAGAAAAACCAAAGACTTCAACTCTGCTTTTGTTGCCTTTCTTACTCGTGTATGGACAAAGAAGTGCTTGGAAACCTGGTCAGTCCAGAACCGACACCTTACCTCAATATTGCAAACAATCCCTGGATCAACCACTACAGGATTGCCTACTGGTCTGGGGGGTTGCAAAGAATCATACGTTATTGTAGCCTGTGTTACACAGTCTCTCACAGGCTGATTGGGCCTGGTAGAGGCATGTTGTAGTCAGGCTACACACTGATGTATTTGACGACTGTTTAAGGGGGTGAAGTTTAACAAACTCCACAGTGGACAACTCTGTAACATGATATATTGTGACATGGAAGATCATTCTCAAGAAAGCTGTTGCCTAGAACTACCTAGATTATAAAATAGAATCCCATATCCTCAGAAAAAAGGTGTTTTGAACAATAGCTTGTGAGGCCTGAAGACATAATTTTGTATTCCTTGTGGCCCCATCATGTCACGAGTGTAGTTTTCTTGAGGGTGTCCTCCAAGCACACAACATGCAATCCTACAAGCTAAAAACAAACTGTATCGTCTTCATTCTGTGTGCAACAAACAAGCACTGCTACATGTGACTGTACATTGTACTACTCTACTGCCTAAATACAAGTCATCATGGTATTGAACCCAGCATTGCATTATAGAAGAAAGTTTTTCTTTCTATTTGCTTGCTATATATATACATGCTATGTGAATCTGAACTTTTTTCAAACATGCAACACAGCAACATTTTTTTCAAGTGAATATGGTTCCTGTATGCTAGTCAGTGGAAAAAGTGATTGTAAACTTCTGAGTATTGTAACAGAAGAGAACTCCTTATAGTAGGACCATATTGCCCAGGCTATATGCAAATTATCAGACAAGAATGGAAAAAGTAAGGGCAGCTTGTCTAGTCCTCCATGTTTCTATGGCAACAAAGGGCCTTGATTGACACCTGCCTATCAAAGCTGTCTCTGTCCACCAATTCCCCTCAATGAAATACCAAATATTTTGAAAGAGTTGATATGTTGCATGTGAAAAACCAATCTTGTTGGGGCACCTCCTAGTTGTAACCATGTATTTGTGTCGTCTTTGAATGTGACATTTAGTAGTGTTGATGAAATTTGTCTAAAAGTGGACCACAGATAAGGTATTTTTAGACGTCTTCTTTTTGTGAAGACCCATGATGTCTTGTAAATAGACTGCAAGAATTTAAAGAAACTGTCATGATTCTAAAAGTGGCTCAGAATGACAACTTTGATGGACAGCTGTTGTATAGGGGCAACTGTATAGAGAAGAATTCATGTGAAACTGCCGTTATATGCAGTTATAAAACCAACAGAGCAGCAACATGTCAACCCTGTTCATGTCTCTCCGTGTATGTCGTGTGGAGGACTGTGTGTTACCGTACCTTGTTGTTTGAAATGAAAGATAAACACATGCCAAAGGATTTACAAATCTTCCTATGATGAGACAAAAATGGGGGCAACTTGGACAGACCACAGCAGTTTTTGTGTAGAAAAATAAATAGATATAGTCAGATTATTGTAGCTATAACCATGTAGAGTGACAACCTTCCTAGAACTCTGCTTTCCTTGCAAACAGAGTTGAGAATAGTGTACTCCAGAGAGAAACATTGAGCATAGCATTGGGCTAACATATGGCGATTCCTGGTTTTTAATGCTGATTGTGTAAGTATGTATCCTGAAGCTGTACATGTACCTGTTATCAGGCTGTTCCACTCTGTAAATACTCATGCTGTATCATCACAACGGTCCTGTGTTCTTTCCCTTTTATTTAATTCAAAAGAGGACTCTTCGGACCATGTCTTGCCAAAAGTGAAGTTTGACAGAAATGTTGGCTCTTCCACCATTTAAAAAAATGAAGCAGGAGAAACATTTGGGTAGATGTTTTGTTGGTGTATACAAAAATTGCGAGACATAGTTTATGATGAACTGTACTGCAAGAAGGACTTGGCCAGTATGTGGTGATAAATTGTTTCCTTGGTTAGACATGTCCTGTTTTCTCGTCTATATCGTGCGCCGTCCTTTGAACAAGAAAAGCCATATTCTGGCACATGCAGCCAACTCAGCTCAGGGAAATACTAAGACGATTCACACAAAACATGCCTCCATGAAATCTCTCAAACATTATAAAGCGACAATCTAACACTTAAACCACAAAAAAAGGAAATAGTTTTGATTTTTATGTTTCTAAGTGTGAACCATTTTGCAGTACCATAGCGCTGAAATGAAGTTGATTTGTTGCCATTATTGTCGTTTTTAACACTGCTAATGTTGTGGGACAGCCTGGTCTATTTGTGCGCATTCTCCGCTGCTTTTTTTTTTTGTTCTTATCAATTTGAAGTTGGCTTGTACTGTTAATGTTTAAACCCAAGACTGAGTTTTGGGAGGACAGTTGTATTACTGATGTGGAAGTTTGTAACACTTAAGTATTTGCATTTCTGGGGGAAAATACCCTTAAGGTTTAAATCCAGACCTGTCGTAACTGCTTATCAGGACATGCTACTATTTTCACTGTTTCTCCCAATGAATATTGGAAAGAAAAAACAACCAAAAGTTCTATGGAGCAGGAATATAAAACCATTTTAGATTTTGGAATTTTGAGACTGTTGTCAAAGTTTACCATCCAGAAAAAATTAATACTTCTATTCTCTTGTATACAAAAGTTGTTCTGAAGATTGTGTTGTCCCAAAATAATGTAGTTCAGACAGGCCAAATGCCACGTAAAAAAATGTCCACTTTCTGTGCTGGTGAAATTTTCCATTTCATTCATCTCATACCCTTGTACAGATGAAGGTGAACGCAATGGCGCAACAGCAAGACAACAAAAATGAACTCTGAAGACTTGTCTTCTTGCTATTTTCTTTAAAGGAACGACTACCAAGTGGTCACATTTTGAATGTTCTTCAGTAGCCAATAGTACAAAGCCTAGTAGATGATATGTTGAGTAGTCTCAGTATGTGTAAAAGTTTGACTTGTAGAGTTTAAGAAGTAGCCAGTGAAAAACACCTGTAACATTCCCTTGATCGATAAGACAGTGAATGAGCCCATGTATTTGCTTATCAGTGTGCTAGCTGTATAGTCTTGAACAGTGAACATTGTGTAAGTATGGTTCTACCAGGCACACCTTGCCCGTGCCTGGCGATGGAAAAGCCATCGTTAAAAATACTACTGTCTCCTCTATCTTATAGCTGGGACCAGCAAGTTCCCAACCGTCACTGTAACTTTGTGGATAGTAGGTCGAAGAAACTATAGCTTGAAGTTTGTGATAGTTTTCCCTGACTTTGGTTCACCTGAGCATCTCGATGTGTGAAAGCAGGAGTCTTCTTCACGTGAAGGGTCTTTGGTGTTTTACTGTGCTGTGCTTGGTGCAGTTTGTGTCAAGCATCATTTACAGTTGAATAATGCATTATTAATAAAGTATATTCCTTTATTCTGTTAATAAAAAATTTTATAGCAAGAAAGGAGCAAAGTGTGATCATGAGTTGACTGGTGAATGTTGATTGTATGGATGTTTGGGGGTGTTTAGCACTTAATCTACAACTAAGTAACCTATGGATGACAAACTGAAAAGGCATCAGTTGCAAGCAAACACATTTTCCTTCACATCTGTGACGAAATCGGAAATGGACAATTCCAACATTGCTTCAAATATTGAGACCACTCAATTGACTTGTAACATCATTGCTTTCAAAAGGCTCCATCCATTGGGTGTTACATGTTATAACTGTTACAAGTTAATCTCCAAGCAGATGTCTGGCTGCAAAAGCGTTCGGGTTAGAACTGGCTGTCTAGAGTGGTGGCAGAGGACCATCTAGACAGGCAGGTCTATGACCGTAACGCTTTTGCCTCCAGACATCTGCTTGGAGACTAATAAAAATGACAGCTCTAACACTAGCGCCCTCTATCAGTAAGGCCCAGTATTGCAAGTACTTTAGACGGTACCATTTCTCGGAGTACCAAAATGTACATTACTTTCTCTTTGAAAGGATAAGATGGATAAAGATATCTTATAATACATTTACTACGTAATTTTAATCATTTTACAAAATAAGTACTATTCTATGTTTGAGAGTGAAACTTCTCGGCACTGCATAGAAAAAATGAAGTGGTAACGTTGCGGTCTGACTTGGACTAATCTATTCCATATAAGGAAAGGTGACATGTCCGGGCATGTTCCTTGTAACCAATCAGAACAAAGGGCGCTGTAATTCAAACTTCTAACCGAACCGGCGACTAATTTGTTTTCACTCGCCGCAATATCCATCCGCACGAAAATTTAAAAACGCAAAAATTCTGATACTATATTTAATATCACATAATTTTATTAGAAATGTAAAGGAAACGTTGTCTGATGTGAAGTTCAAGACACTTACTAGCTTTCTGTAGTTTATTAAGTGATAATATTCACTGGAACTACTTTGTGCGGATGGACAAATAGAGGGTGATCCGTCCACTGTAGCTATTTTTTCCTGCAAATTTCGCGGCGTGGAAGTGCCAGCGCGTTTATGCAAAAATTTGCGCGTGATTTTTAGTTTATTCTCCTTGCCGGGAGAATTAACTCTAAGCTAGGGATCTACATATAACAGGGAACACGTCTGTGTGATTTTTGTACGTATTCAGGTAAGATTTCTTTCTTGTATTGCCGTTTCGTTCTTGTCAGTTAGCTCTGCTTGTCCCTTTGTTTAGTCAACGGTCGTTTTGACCGCTTTCAGGTGAGAATATTTGCACAAAAGCTAAACTTTCCAACGTTCTAATATTTCATGCACTTTTAATTTCAACAGATGGTTGGATTCAATGATAAATCGGTGCAAGCTGGTATTTTTTGTTTGTGTTTAATTTTTCTTCCCTCCCCCTTTTGCCCAAACCGTTTTATTTCATCATGTGATTGTGAAGTTTTTGACAACTTTGCAACAGGCTCCCTGACAAAAATAATTCAAGTCTAACAAATTTGTTGTCCCCTTCTTCCAGCGTGTCGCGATGCTTTTCGGCAAGATAGTGGTGATTAAACGTAATGGTGAGGACGGGGCGCACTTCCCTCTCACCGCCAACACGTGTCTGTTCGGGAGGTAAGTACAGAATTTCCAGACCCAGACAACAAACTCTTGATACTTGTACTCATAACGTTTTACATGATTTTCTCAGCATCAAATTGCATAGACATTCTGGAAAGCCAATGAAATTCAATTACTTGGTTCTCAGATTTTTCTCTTTTTTTTCTGGTTTGAAGGAGACCCACTGTTCGAAATAATTTGAGAATTTCAAATCCACAACAAATTTTGGTGTGTTGATTTTCTCATAAAGTACATTAGATTTACTAATGATTTAGGTCTAGTACCGTCTAGTCTACTGGTCTATTACAGGATACCTATTGTATTTCAATCTTGCCCACGGCACCATCACTGATAAAACTTATTGAAACAAGAGACGAGATAACGTGTTGTCAACTTGCTAAAATTTGTCGATGGACTTTGAGAGACGAATTTGAATTTTTGTCCCGCTGCAAAGGACCAACGAATGTGACATCAGAATCCAGCTGCCCAATGTGTCCAGGGAACACTGTAAGGTGGACGTGAAGGATAATGAACAGGTAGGGTGGCAGTTTTCATATCCTATTGTTGTCATTGACACCACAGAACCAGCTGCAGACAACTCGACAAGTTTTGCTGACTTTTCTCTGCCTTGACATTGTAATTGTCTATATTAGCATCACAAGAAGACTTAAGTTTTGGTGTGTTGTAACAAGCAGCTACTGTACTAGTGATCTTGCTGCTAAATTGCTAACTTGCAATAGTATCTGTCATACTGAGGCTGGATTTTTTAACCTACAAAGTTCATGTTATTCATATTGTACCTGTCATCTGTAGTTTCTTGCTGCAAATTGTAGTAGTAATGTAGGTGGTTAGTTCAAGACCTCTGGCTTGGTAAATCCTTCTAAAGGCATGTCTTTACGAATCCCCAGGTTGTGCTGTCCAACCTAAGTGATGTAAATCCCACCATCCTGAATGGCAAGCCTGTCTCCAAGTCCGTCGTCATCCAACATAAGGATGTCTTCACCATCATTGATCGCTCCTTCCGCTTCGAGTTCCCTCCGACCTCCAAGTTCTGTGTCAGCCCCTCCAAGCGCAAGCAGCAGTCCCCAGACAAGTAAAGCACCTTTTCTTAGAGTCTAGACAAATGTGTCTGACTCTAAGTTAGTTTGACTCAGAACTAATATTTTTTGCAACAAGTTTCAGAATAACAATTTGGGGGTTATAATACATATGCATCTCCAGTTGGTTACTAGTATTTTTGAGCATGAGCTGCATTACAGGGGCATTTCCTGAACACAATCTCAGAAATACTTACTGTAACTTCAGTTGAATTTGTAGCACTGCCACAGTTAAAATCAACAGTATGCAGCAGTGTTTGGAGGTTTGTGGTTGAAACAATTGGTGCAACACAATTAATTGGAAATTGCTGATTGAGACTGAAAATGAAAGCTAAGAAAATACCACAGATATTTGATCAGTTCCTCGTCATTCTCCACAGATCTGTGAGTTCTGGACCGCTCCATGAGATCCAGGAGGCAGGGGGAAAGACAGAGGTGCCGGCTGGAACAACCCCGAAGAAGGGGGGTAGTCCAACTAAAAGAGGTAGTGAAAATGGTAAATTGTTCTGTTGTTTGTGTGTCTTTTAGTTTTACAATGTTATGTGAATATCAGCAAATAAAGTCATTACAGAATGTTCTGTGTTTGCTTGTATCTTCACTTGGAACATGACGTTTGTGTACTTGTAAACATTTTGTAAAGTTCATAAAAAGTTATGTAAGGACCCTTGATTTTTAACTTGGTAAAAAGAGGAAAGTTGTCATGATGTATTAACCAATTAGAAAGGATGTGTCTCTTCACTTGTATTAGAGCTGAGGGGATAATTTTTTTGACAGACAACTTAAATTCGAACAGACAACCTCAGTGCCTTGTTTCAAATTTAGTAACACTTTACCAGATGTGCTGTATTGTAGGAAATTATAATTACTGCAGTAAACAGACTTACCGAATCATGGCAGACATGGTCATTGCAATGAACATGATTTCACACGAACAGATTTCATTCCAAAGTACACCAACATGTATTTTGTATCTCACTAGCAGACACCAAGAGCCCTGGCAAGGCCAAGACTCCCAAGAAGTCTCCAGGCAAGGTTGCACCAGAAAAGACCGGTACTCCTGCTGCCAAGTCTCCCAAACCCAAGTCTGCCACACCTGCTAAGAAGGCAACTCCTAAGGTAAATGGAGAATACAGGGTGTCCTGCACATGTGCATTTGGAAGGTCATAACAAAGACATGTGAAATATTGAATGGTACTTTTTCACTACACCTAATGCTGTAATTTTATAAGTTTAAAAAATCATTATCTTCATATTCGAAGATCAAGATACAAGTATGTGGGAATCGAGCAAGTCTTTTTTTCTGTTAATTTTCATTTTATGTGTATGTATATTCATGTATTTTTACATGTTTTTCTTTGATGTAGAAATCTCCAGCACGTTCTGCTAGCCCCAAGCCTGAAGAGGAATCATCCCCTGCCACCAGCCAGCGCGCAAGCTCCCCACTCAAGAAGAGTGGTAAGAAGGTGAGTGTGCTTTCTGTGTTACTTGTCAAGTGCAGTGACTTGAAGGCATTGCAGATGATGACCGTAGTTTATACGGGGACGTAATACTGAAGTCCTGTTGACACATCTCGGTCTGATGCCTAGGTGTTTTATTTGTTTAACTACAGTCTGTATTGGTATCATCATGTGTTAGTTTGGATATCATGTTGCTCATCTCTGACCACTTTGCCCCCCTATAGGCTCCTCCATTTGGTAGCCCCCGGCAGCCTGCTGTGATGCCGCTGAAGACCAGCATCACTGAGCTCCGCCGTCGCTCTGCACCACTTCAGGAGGCCCTGTCTGAGGAGTCGCCAAAAACTCCAAAGACCAGTAAGTATGATGGCATAGACTAGTTATACTTAGGGCTAAACTGTAGAAAAATTAATATTATGTCATGTTTTATTTCCTGAGCCAAATTTGCTTACCTTCTTGTACTGGCAGCAACTTCATTTATGTATTGTCATTTAGTTCATGAGAACGATTAATGAAATGGACTGGTTATGCTTAGGGTATTGCAAAATTACAAAATTATTACAACTTAGAATTGTAAACAATTGATTGAGAATATTACAGTTTTATGATTTTTTGATACAACCAAAGTTTAAACTACCTATCTTATATTGATGTTGGTGCTGCTGCTTCCAGAGATTCATTGTAAGTCTTCCATTTCAGAAAAAGCAACCCCTGCAAAAGTCACACCTGCCAAGTCATCAAGCAAAAAGAGGAAGTCCTCTGGTCCCTCCGATTACGAGTCCTTGTCCAAGCGTGTGTCGTTTGGTCCTGCTCTCAGTCCTGAGCACTTTGACAAGAAGCTCCCCCCAGCCCTGCCCTTGCGTCGTGGGGCATCCCCAATGACAAGGCGGTCCACAGGAGGGATACTTACCCAAACCCCTGACATGAAGAAGCAGCGTCTCTCGTTGGCTCCACGAACAGCAACCATAGCAGAGGGAGAAGAGATCACCCCGAAAAAGGCCACTCCTCGTGGGAAGAGCCCCAAGGCAAAGACCCCATCTCCAAAGGCTAAGACACCTTCTCCCAGGTCTAAGACACCAGTGAAGGCTGCCACACCTAAGGGGAAGACACCTCCCAAGGTCAAGACCCCATCTCCAAAAGCCAAGACACCTTCTCCAAAGGCCAAGACACCATCACCTAAGGCCAAGACACCAACCAAGGCTGCCATGCCTAAGACCAAGACACCTCCAAGGGCAAGGACTCCATCTCCAAAAGCCAAGACACCAGCCAAAGCCAAAACACCATCACCCAAAGCCAGGACACCATCGCCCAAGACCAAGGCAGCCACCCCCAAGACCAAGGCAGCCACTCCTAAGGCCAGGACACCAGTGAAGGCAAGTCCCAAGGCAGCCTCTCCCAAGATGGCATCACCAAAGCAAGTTACCCCAAGCCTGCTACAGTTAAAAGGACGCCAACTCCTGCAAGGGTCAAGATGTCGACTCCAGCAAAGGAGGAGCTCAGAAGGGTTATTGCCAAGAAGGCCCTTGGAGCCTCCCCCAACTTGGCTCGTCGATTCCCCACACCAGTGCGTGAAGAGCTCAAGCAAGCTGTCACTGCTCGTGCCGAGAAACTTTCCCCGAAAAGGGCAGCAACACCGGTCAAGGCTTCACCCAAGGCTGCTTCTCCCAAGGTGGCTACACCCAAGTCCACTACTCCAGCCAAGGTGGCTACACCCAAGTCCGCTACACCAGCCAAGGTGGCTACACCCAAGTCTGCTACACCAGCCAAGGTGGCTACACCCAAGTCCGCTACACCAGCCAAGGTGGCTACACCCAAGTCTGCTACTCCAGCCAAGGTGGCTACACCCAAGTCCGCTACACCAGCCAAGGTGGCAACACCCAAGTCCGCTACACCAGCCAAGGTGGCTACACCCAAGTCCGCTACACCAGCCAAGGTGGCTACACCCAAGTCCGCTACTCCAGCCAAGGTGGCTACACCCAAGTCTGCTACACCTGCAAAGGTGGCTACGTCTGCAAAGAAGACTCCTAAATCAGCTACCCCAGCCAAGAAGACTCCTAAGAAAGCAGCCACCCCGAAAAAGACACCTAAGAAGGTGGCGACCCCAGCCAAACGTGGTCAGAAGAGGAAATTGAGCACCCCAGGTGATGATGCCCCTGCTGGAAAGCGTAGGAAGGTAGGCCCAGATGTTCATTGCATTGATTGTTCATAAATAACAATACTGTGCTGAAGAAGGCATCAGATTGCTAGATTTTGAATATACCAGAAGCACCTTAAAAGTTAAATTATGTTTTGACGAAAGGTCGGGTAAAATCTAGTGTCTATGAATTCAGGTACTGAGATGAATGTCTTTCAACCCTGAACTATTGTAAAATGTTTCTATCACTGCTCTGTTGCTTCAGGCCATGCAAGTTACAGTGAAGACTCCAAAGAGCGCTCGCAAGACACCGGCACGTCGCACCCCAGCCCGCAAAACTCCGGCAAGAAAGACCTGGGCAGACATTGTAAAGGCAGCCAACAAAAAGGTAAATTGACACAAGCTATTACAAATTCACTTGTCACATCTTTATAAATGTGTCCAAAGCTTAAGTGTTTGTCTCGATTTTTGTACACCTTTCCACATTGGATACAGGGTTCTCACCAGGATTTTTTCACAGCGTAGGGGTCAGGTATTAGACGGGCAACTTTCCGCGGCGCGAGTCGCACAATGAGTCCCAAAATCGGGTCTGATATTCTCCCCCAAAAATTTTGTAACTCATATTAACCACTTAAGACACTATTTATTGTTTATTGGGGGACAGATTTTGTTTTCCCTTTGTTATAACTTCATTCTTAAGTTATATTTTCATTTTTTTAAAGATTAATGAAGCTTCTGCCCCCAAAAACCACCCCTACGCTGGTTGAAACACAGTGTAGGGGGCGAAATCACAGCGTAGGGGGTCAAAATCACAGCGTAGGGGGCCCCTACGCTCAAACAGCCTGGTGAGAACTATGGGATATATTAGTTCTTTTATATCCATATTTCTTACAGCAAATGTGCAGCAGAAAAAAATCTCATGAAAAATTGTACATAGATAATGTATCTTCACAACACAAGAGTATCATTGCTGTCTAATAATAAACCAATGTTTCTTCTTTGTACCAGTCTACTTCGGTCACCGGACCTGTTGCAGCCAAGATTGTGAAAACAAAGACAGCCGTCCAAACGGTCGCCAGCAAGAAGCTGTCTCTTGCCAAGCGCAAGAGCATGTTGAAGGCACCTAAGGTGGGAGTTTTTACATAGCTCTATTAACTCATGAGTAATGAGTGATCGCTGTAGTCTTGTACTTGTTTTTAGATAGAATGTTGAACAGCCCAATATCCTTTCGGGTTTGCCTCTAAGAACAAACCCATGTTAACTATTTGAAAACAAAGATGACATTAGTAGTTACATGTCAATGACCTCTGCATAACTTCATTTGAGTTTGGTAAGGCTTACATATTCCAAGCCCACGCCATGTGCTGATAAGTTCTTTCTGATCTTTTTTCCTGTACAGACCCCAAGGATGGGTGTGAAGACTACAGGGCATGTCGACTCCCCGGCAACCATCTTTATCCGCAAGGCAAGGACTCCAGCAGCCAAGCCACAGAAAGCTCCTGCCAAGTTCCGCAAGGGTCGCAAGTCTGGCGTTACCAAGAAGAGCACTGTCAAGGCCTCTGACGACAGTTTCACAGGAATGCAGGAGATGTTTGCCACTCCCTCACCCAAGGCCACACCCAAGCAGAGCTCTGCAAAGAAGACCCCCAAGTCTTCTGCAAAGAAGACCCCCAAGTCTGCTTCCAACACTCCAAAGTCAGGCCAGAAGTTGAGTGTGTCCAGCCTGTATGCTGATCTGCAGACCCCCAACAGCCCCGGGGAGATGTATGTGTCCCCCCTGAACACCCCCACTCCAGGCCGAGGCAGGAACAGCACAGCACTTGCCGGTGTTGCTCGTCTGCTGAAGACACCAAAAGCAGTCAGCTCCCCTGTCATCAGCCCATCAGGCATCAAAAGGCTCACCAAGACCCCCAAGACTAAGGGTGCTGTGGTCAACAGCCCAGCTGGTCTCAAGCGTATCATGAAGACCCCAAAAGCGGCTGCCACATCCCCTGTCAGCAGCCCTGCTGGTCTGAAGCGCATCATGAAGACCCCGAAAGCAGCTGCTGCTTCCCCTGTCAGCACCCCGTCTGGAATCAAGCGTATCATGAAGACCCCAAAAACACAGCCTGGCAAACCAGTGGAGAGCCCCACTGCCCTGAAGCGAATCTTCCACACCCCGAAGAACAAGTCAGCTCCATTAGAGGACCTGCGTGGCATCAAAAGGATGATGACAACTCCTCGTCAAAAGGCACTGGATGTCTATGAGTTCACTGATGACTACACTGGAATCCCAGAGATGTTTGCCTCCCCAGTCTCTTCTACACCTGCAAGAAAGACCCCTGCCAAAACCCCAGCAAGTAAGAAGAAGGCACCAGCCAGTGCCAAGAAGTCTGCAAGCGCCAAGAAGGTAACGAAGGCAGCTGAGCCAACTCCAGTCAAATCACCTGCACAGACAGCTACACGCGGAAGCAAGCGGGCCCGTGTTGAGGAACTGTCTGACACAGCAGAGGAAACCAAGTCACCACCTGCAAAGCGTGGTCGTCAGGCCAAGAAGGTTACCATCAATGTACCACCAACTCCTGAGCCAGCCCCCAAGAAGACAAGGAAGACCAGGGCTACCAAAACAGCTGTCAAGCAGCCTGCCAACTTGGAGGAGGCTGAGGTGCAAGTCGTCAGCCCAAAGAAATCGCCTGAAAAGCCAACCAAGCGGGCGACTCGTAGGGGTAAAGCAGCAGCAGCTCCAGAGACCCAAGAGGAAGCTCCTGTTGTGACCCGTACCTCTCGTGGTCGTGGCAAAAAGGCAGTCAAAGATGTGGAGCCAGAAGTGGTGGTGGTTTCCAGTCCTGAGAAGGTGGTCTCACCTGCCAAACCTGCCTCACCTGTGCAGGTCAAGAAGACCAGGGGAGGGAGGAGAGCACCTGCGAAGAAGATTGTCGAGGAGGCTTCAGCTGAACCTGCACCCAAGACTGCCTCGCCGGTAAAGCGCACGAGGCGTGGTGCTAAAGAAGCAGAACCAAAGGTCATTGAGGTCGCAGCTTCTCCAGAGAAACCCAAGAGGGGAGCGAAAAGGGCAGCAGCAACTCAGGAACCCGCAGCAGCTTCCCCTGCCAAGAAGACACGCACTACAAGACGTGGGAAGGCAGCTGTCAGCGAGGAAGAGAAGGAGGAAGCACCAGCCCCAGTCTCTCCAGTAAAGGCTCCAGCCAAGCGAGGCAGGGCCACAAGGGCTACAAAAAAGGAAGAGGTTGAAAAACCAACTCCAGCTGAAGTTCCTGTCAAAAAGGCTCGCACCACGAGGTCTAAAGCGGAAATAGTGGAGGAGGAGGCTGCACCAGCTGAAGTGCCTGCCAAGAAGGGCCGCGCCACCAGAGCAAAGGCAGCTAAGGCTTCCCCGGTGAAGGCAGCATCTCCAGCCAAGACAACCCGCACTTCTAGGAGGAAGGCAGTGGAGGAGAAGCCAGCCACACCGGTGAAGTCTAGGAGCACACGAGGAAAGGCTGCAGAAAAACCAGCCACTCCAACACCCAAGAAAACCAGGGCAGCAGGGAAGAAGGCAGCACCTGCTAAATCTCCAACACCAGTAAAGAGGACCCTCAGGTCTAGAAGGAAGTAATTTTATCTCTGCAAGTTTATCTCTTTGCAGGCTTGTAAATAAACAGTTTACCTCCCTTTATACAATAGTTTTATATTATCTGTATCAGCTTTCAACCTGGATCAAGGTCACAATCTGTTTTGAATGTGCACCGGTGTACTTTCTGATATGATCTGCTTTATTTTGTTAATTTATGCAAGTAATGTTTATTAGTTTTGTGATGATCCTTTAATTGTCTTACTTAATTAGGCCCGTCAGTTTTAGCTTGTATTTTTTTTTTTTTGCATATCCTCAGATGTTTCAGCTTCAAATATGTTCAGTAGTTTATTTGGAAGTATAGGAATATCTAAGTTTAAGACTTCAACATAATATAGGAGTATCTAGATTTTAATTCCTATTATCTAAAGATTAAGTAAGTAAACATTTTTTTAAGAATACATTTCTACCTTTCCATTTAATTCATGTCTGTCTTAGACAGTAGATCTATGTTCTGTCCTCCAAACTTTGCCAGCCTTTCTGTCTTCAAGTCAACTTCATGTTTGTGTGGACATTGTCTTGTCAAAGCATCATTGGAAGTCGTGGTCATGGGCTTCGTGATATTTTCTGTAGTACAGTGTATTTGTTGTTAACTATTTGAATTAATTTTTCAAGGCCCAATAATATACAACAAAACGTATGTACGTCACAGTACGTGTATGACAGGTTGGATTGTAAAGTGGCAACAATCCTCTGCTGAAGAAAAAGCCCAGCTGTGTACATATTTGACCACATTTGCTGATTAAATAATCTGGTGTGTTAATGAGAGTACAGTCATTTTTGCTTCATTGTCATTTTCATCTTGCTTCAAGAGAATCAGAAGAAACTGGGATGATGACTGACATTCACCATAGCCGATTAAGATGACTACAACAACTCAATTCGAATGTTAATGAGAGTCACATCCAAGTAGTACTAAAAATTACATCCGCATATTTCCATTGTCACCTATCTGACACTCCTTTGAGCGTCACTGAAATAGCCTATTTTGCCGAGAGGTTGTAGGACCCGGGAGCTAAAAGGTTAGGTACCCAAGCTATCACTAAAATGAACTAGCAGAACTAATCAACGCTTACATAATCACGTAAGTATAAGGAATTGAAAAGATGGTTGAGTATGACAAAGGTATGGTCGCTATTGTTGACATGAATTTTTTGTTGCTTGGATCTTCTGATTCGTTTTCACATCTTAGAAGACTTCAGATGGATCTAACTAGGCTATGACATTCAGAAAGTGAGGAGAGGTAAACAAAAAGCGAAATTGATTGGAATGGACACAGCTTGAGAAAGGACCTTTGTACTTCAGATATGAAAAGCGTACTTTGAACTGTTCATTGCTGATGCAATAGTAAATATGTGAGCACTCCCTGGCCGTGTGGCCTTTATCTCTGGCCTTGAGAACAAAGTCTGAATACCTTTGAACCTACGGAGTACAGAGACGTGGCTTATCACAGGTTACGCCCCCTTTTCCATTAGAGGATGTGATCACAAACATTTGGCAGATGACTCAACGATTTTTTTACCCTTTTTTTGTTTCCAAGAAGGCCTTTCGTTGGTGTTTCGTTGTATTTTCAATCAACTTCGCATCGTTCATCACATTTCAAGATCGAGTCGCACAAGTCCAATTTTGGTCGCTCAACGCCCGTACGTTCAGTGATAACGTGGAATGGGACTTTAATCAGCAAACGTCTGACGCCCCACACGCTAAGTGAGACCCCATGCCAGGCTGTTCTCGGAAAAGTTTGGCGGCTATCATCTGAGATAAACACGTTCCTGTAGACACTTCTGTGTCTTTTTAAAACATTCTATTGCGGGAAGATTAAGCATCTTATGTACAAGGGTCCAACAATTTATCAATTACTTTGTCAAGTATTTCCAAGAAATGATACGTGTTCATACCACCTCATTGACATTGTCTCTGTGTGATTTCATATGGGCAGCGTTTCAGTTCGCAAGATATTCTATGGCAGGTCTACAGCATAGTTTGTCGAAAACATCTAATCAACTGGTGATGTCATTGTTCACCATTGTTTGCTTGGTTGGCTTGCTGCGCAGGCGCACTGTCAGTGCCACTGGACTTGTGGCGCAGGAAACGTTTCTAGATCGAAGCGCGAGCGCTTTTTTGTGTGTGCAATCAAGGAGGTTTAACCTCCTTGGTGCAATCGTCTTAAACCACCATGGGAGATTCCCGTGTCATCCGTGCGACCAAACCTCTCCCCATTGCCATTGCGCTCATCTTCTGTGTTTCTACAGTGGTTTTAGCAGGTGAGTTTTTTTTTTCGGATTTCTTCCGTCCCGAGTGGACGCAAGTTGACCACAAGATTCAAGTCATGAACTTCTTTTTGTTCCATCCAAGTCATTTTAACAGCACACACAACGTTTTTTGTAGTGTTCTATTCCAAAGTGTGTTAAGTTCGTTAGGATGGCTCAACTCACTCACAATTACTAACCCTATTTTGCCAATGCAAAACGTACTACTATAACCCTTTACGAAGGCCAGGTGGAGGCTAGTAAACTTCTGTGGCTCCAGAACGTTCTCCGTGTGAAAGCAACATGCTTACAAAGCAAATATTAACAGTACGACATTCTAGGACAGGATTGTGAAAAAGCTAGAATTAGTTGAATCACAAACTGTAGAAAAGTACATAGGGTGAAATGCTATATTTGTATAGAGTGTTATTTTGAACATGACGATTCACGAAGCTCCTTCCCACCCCCCCCAAAAAAAAAGTCAGTCACACCTAGGCCGATAAGCAATCTGATAATCTCCAAGCAGATCCTAGGGTGGCAAAATTACAGTATCAAATTGGCCATGCGCTATCGCAAGGTGGGGGTAGCGAAAAAAAAACGGGCCATATATAAAAAGCTAACGATCATTCCCCCACAACCTCTGCTAGGAAAGTACAATCTGAAGCATGTAGCCAATCTATATGCACGTTCACAAACATGTGCCTACTTTCAACAATATTTTTTCTTCTTCAGTAAGTTATTGCTCAAAAGTTTCCGAATATCTCACCAGTTCTAAAGATGTGGTTGTCATTTCGTGGGTATTTGTCTTTGTCCTTTTCAATGAGGGGGTGAAGCTAATACGTGTAGCGATCATGCCGATGGTTTTATTTCGCGGTGTTTAACAAAGTGCCATTAGTATATATACGTAGGAGACAGCATTGACCGTTTTAGCTCACGGTTCAGATTGTTTAGTAATATTGTCCCTTGACATTGCTTTGTAATAATGAGACCGCTTACATGCCTAGCTGTTTCCTTTAGTTGATGCTGTTACCTTACGGTGTATCTTGATGCTTGATCGGAACTAGATGCAAAGTCACCACGTTTTAGTCATATCTGGGCAATTTCTAAGAGGATCTTTCAGTGGCAAAGTCGTAACCATTCCTTACTCTTTAGTGCCGGTCTGATTGACACCATTAATCGAAAAATCTGCTAGGAGATTAATACATGGGTCATGGGTGCATCTCCTTCAGAAATGATCGAACTTTATGACTGCACCGACGGCAAATATCTAAATCAACATGACGATGACACCATAAATGGTATCAGCATCGAGGAGTGCGCTGAGAGGTGCATGCATGGAACACCTGGTGTACCGGAATGGGAGTGCTCGTCGTTTGACTACATGAAGTCAGACCAAATATGTCTGCTCAGTACAACCAAAAGTGGCTCCCTTACTTCTGACTCCAACTACTGGTATTGTGAGTTGAAAGGTGAGACCAATCTTGATATCTTTATGCATTGAAAACAATTACATTTGGACTTCTGCATGCGCCGAAATGTGACTTAAGTTCTGAAAATCGACATAATTTATAACGTACATTTATAGTTTTCATACAATAATCGTCGGATAGTCCTTTCTTTTCAATTCATAGTTTTGGGAATACAGATCTCTGTCAGTCACTGACTAAGTAGAGGTAATGGATGCTATCAGAAACGTTTTCAAATTCTTACTTGATTAACGACTGTTACCTTGTGTATCTTATTTCACGAATGTCAGTTACCTTCATCGAAGTCTTTTCTTGTAAATCTATGACGCGGCCAAGGGTTATGCAAGATGAGTGAAACGTCTTGTACGTACGGTAGATTTGCTCATTACTAAAGGGGAGTCCAATATAATACGATGAATTCTATGCATTATCATATTGCAGATCTTCTCCATTTTTTCGACGTGCAACCAGACCACGCCTTAGGCGGACTGGATGACTATATCGTCCTCCTACCGGAGGCGACCCCCCTCAAATGCGCGTGGCGATGTCTGCGGGACCAAGCCACCCTACCCGGTGCCGTCTGTTACTCCTTTGAGATCGGAACTGAGCAGCGGCCCGATAAGTGTCTGCTAAGTAGTTACAGCGTGGACACATCGGGCATTTCTCTGGACTTCAACCCAAGATTCGACTACTATCAACGTAGCGGTAGGCTCAGTTCATATAGTTATTACAATTACCGTCTTCTATATCTATATATATTATGTATATATACTTTTTAATTAATCTTATTTCTCCCCGGGCCCTCGGAATGGTAAATGTGTGGGTAAAGGAATTCTAGGGTAGCACGAGTGAAAATCCGAATGGTACCCAGGCTAATTCTAGGGTACTACTAGTAACTAAACTCTCCCGGCCAATTATTCTCCCTTTGGCTAAATACCATACCCGAACCCTAATTGTTGGTCTGGTGGAAACTGCTAATATGTAGAAATGGGTCATCATGTCAGGCTATCCTAAAGTATACAATTATTACCCAAGTCTTTATATCAAACGGAGGATCGCTAACCGTACCAACCCCCACCCCTACGCTGAGCGACCAAATTTGATTTGTGCGACCCTTCATTTTATAAGTAGAATATGTCGGAAAGTTAAGTTTAGTCTAAGAGGTTCGTTCCTAATGTATGAAATTCGTTTAGCGATCTGTCAAGTGTTGAAAAGAACGACTTCTCCCCAAGCAGAGGTTTGGGCTTTGGCCTCAGTATTTTTTGGCGTATTTTGGTTTTTTAAATTGGGAACCAGTACTAAAACAAAGCCCGATGGATTTAAAAGCCTTAAACAGGCCAAAAATAAGCCAAAGCCAAAATCCCTGGAGAGTTATGCACGACACGCTGATAACAGTATCTTTGCGCGTCGCCTCTGGTAGACGTATGCTTACAGTAGGGTTAATTATAAACTGAAAAATATGATAAACATTGTCTCTATTTGATTTTATTTTTGATGTCGCAGAACTATGCATACCCAGTCCCTGTGTTAAGGGATACTGCGTGGGAAAGAACAAGGTTTTCACCTGCATGTGTGACGCCGGCTGGGGAGGAGACATCTGCAACGAAGGTACTATTAATCTTAATCTGACTAACGTTAGCGGTGGTTTTATTTCGGGGTGTTGTCACCACGCTGCGAATATGTGCCTAGCCTGCTAAGTACTGTAACAGCGTTACTATCGTTCTACAGATTTTCAACTGTGAACTTCAAACACAGCCAAAATATAATTTCCTACAAAACCACTGCAAGGTAGACGCATTATTTACATATCTGGTTGATGCAATTTCCAGCACTGCCGCTAGGAAGCGCACTGCCGAAGCCTTTATTAAGTGTCGTAACGTTTAGTACTAGTACCTTCGTCAATAGGGTTATGTTTTGAGTTGTGTCATTTTGGAGTAAGGGTGGTCTGGGTCTGTATGCATGTATGTCAACAGCAAATCAAGAACGTGTGCATGGATCTTTATGATATTTGGCAGATGAGTAGCAGTTGCGGAAACGAAGGTCAAGTTTGAAAATGGTTCACCCCACATTTTTAATGGCACTGCAGTGGGCTGTATGTGTATGGATTGATGTATGTGTGTTTGTGTGTGGACAACATAACTCAAGAAGCTGTGGATGGCTGTGCATGCATCGGATATTGAGTGGATGGAAATGGATCGCAAATAGGAAGGAACTCTAGTTCTTAAAATATTGTAGTAGAGCTGTAGATTTAACCAAGGAGATTTTAAATGCCTTGATGTTGGACATCTCTTTTTGTCATCATATATGCACACACGCACACACACATAAACACACAGGCACGCATGCACACACACACACACGTTACAAAACACACTTTTGGGGATGTTTTCAAAGACTTCAAAGTTCAAAGACTGCATTTGCAAAACACCTCTCTAAAGTTGAATACCTCATGCTTATGCTAGTATCCAATTCCAGTATGTGCTGAAGGGACCTTTGGGCAGGGCTGCCATGAGATCTGCCACTGTGCGCTTGGCGGCTCTGTGTGTGACACAGCCTCCGGGATCTGCAGCAGTGGTGGGTGTATTGAAGGATGGTCAGGACCCAACTGTCAGGCAGGTAACAGAAACAGAAACAGATGCATTCCTATTTACAAAGGTGTCAGGCATTCAAACGTTGCCTTGCAATTTGCAAGCTAGTATGCAAATCATGTTGTATGTGACAGTGTTTTCCTTAATTTTTCTTTTCTTTTCTAGAAACTTGATGTTAAACAGTTTTGTATTGAGATTAAAACTATTCAAAAGGCATATTTTGGTGCATGGCATTACACACAAAAGACCTACAAATCGGCGGTCATTTTATATGCATGCCCATTTGTGATTTAATGTTTTACTCAGATGTCAATGAGTGCCTTGACAACGCTGGTCGTGGACCGTGTGCTCAGATCTGTACTAATACTGATGGAAGCTACACCTGTTCGTGTCGGGCTGGGTACAGTCTGAATGACGACGGGCATTCCTGTGATGGTAAAAGTTGTTGTTTTCACTACAATCAACAATTAAGTTAACGTGCTCATTTTTTGTGCATGATGAAATGATATTAACTGGAGGTGAGATACTGTATATATAGCTTATATGATTAAGTTAACGTGCTCATTTTTTGTGCATGATGAAATGATGTTGTGTCAATAAAGAATCTCTCTAATAAAGTTATAATCATAAAGTTCAAAATCTGACATTGTTGACTTGTCTTGTTGCTATGCATATTTACCTTGGTCCCCTGGTTGGTCATCAAACAATTTTGACTGTACCTTTACCAATTTGGGGATGTAGCTTATTTGATTTCTTACATTTGCTCTCTATACAGACTCATGACCATGCCTCTCTTTGTGCTTCTGCAGATGTCTGCATCCCCAACCCCTGTATTCACGGCCACTGTGTGAGGCATATCAATACTTTCACCTGTATGTGTGATGCCGGATGGGGAGAAGACATTTGTGACACAGGTAACATCATTAATGCAGTTCTATTCATTTACTGATTTAGTTTAAACTGGGACTTTCAAGACAATCATGATTATTTGGTATGAAGCACAACAAATGCATTAAATAAGAACAGCATGACCTTGTCAAACTACTAGTAACCTGTAATCTATTGAATTTCAGAATCATTATAGCAGAATTCTTTTTTATTTACTTAATAGTTCACCACAAAATAAGGCTCAAGGGAGCCACTTAATGTTTTGGGTTACTGTACAGCCAGTGAGGACAGATGTTTGTTGACCTTAGACTTAAAAAGTTTAAGGTTGAACCCATGTGGGAAGCTTGTTCCATGGTAGCTTGTTCCATAATGATGTTGTTGTAGGAAAAAAAGCTTTTAGAATGATTCATGTCTCAAATAACATACTGTACCAATGTTGAAGCGTAGTCATTGTATGTATAAATTTATAGACATTATACACACAGAAACTCTCACAGGTTCACATAACTTAACAGGTTCACAGATTTGGAAGTCACAGTCATGAGTGCAATTTTGTACTGGAGTAGTGCTTTTGGTGCATTTAACTTGAGACTACCAGCAAGAATCGTTTATCATGACAACCTTGGTTCTATGTCATTGTTTCATGTAACTAACCAGAGAACTTAATTACATCACATTTTTATATTCTTCAGCCTGTAGTTCTGGTACCTTTGGGTCTGGCTGCTCCTCCACCTGTCACTGTGCAGCCGGAGATTCAGTTTGTGCCACAGACACCGGAGCCTGTAGCACTGGAGGATGCAGCGATGGATGGCAAGGACTCAGCTGCCAGACAGGTTTGCTTCTTTGGCATAACTGGTAAACTACCTTAAGGCACAATACACAAGTTTTGTACAGTAACCACAGGCTGTTTAAGACCAGACTGTAAGGTTTTATCCACTCATGGACCCCTTGTCTTATTGATAGTTGTGGCAGGTTCTTTACTGCGCTCTCCTCAAATACAGGACCTCCAGCTTTATGTCCCATTTGAGAGGATGATCCAATTTTCCATGATCCATGCCAACCCATTTATTTCATGGCCATTTTTCTTTTAATTGGTTTATCTAGACATTGATGAGTGCCTCAGCAATGATGGCCGTGGACCTTGTGCTCAAGTCTGCACCAACACCCCGGGACATTACGTCTGCTCTTGCTCCGATGGTTACAAAGTTGGCGCTGATGGGCACACCTGTGAAGGTACAAGGTGTTTTTTAAATCTTATCAAGTACAATTGCGTCTACATGTATGTTGTCCTTGGTGACAATCATGTGGTTATTACTCTTATATTTTTGTTGTTAAGTAGAAGATGACATTTATTTTTTATATAAATATATGTTCTTGACTTGCCTGTTGTCTCCAGTAGTACACTCCATTGTAGTACACTCTTAAGGATTGGCTACTTGGTATACTTTCTTAGCCAAAACTCTCCTCATGATGACATGTCCCCAGTTGTGATATTTACAGTTTGCCCTTGCCCCATTTTTTGGGTGCTTTTATCAAATCAACAATGGACTTTTTAATTCAAGAGCATTGTTTGGAATTAGGTCTCTAATGGACTTACTGAATCATGATACTTAAAAGGATATGATACTATAGGAACACCTGTGTAAAGCTTACTGACACTATGTGTGCTCTGTATACTAGCTTGCGGGCTTGGTACATTTGGACCTGAGTGCTCTGGAATGTGTCACTGTGCGTTTGGAAATATAGTGTGTGATTCTCAGGCGGGAGGCTGCAGCAATGGTGGATGTGCATCTGGATGGATCGGATCAAACTGTCAGACAGGTAGGTAACGTCTACTTCCAGTAGCATAATTCAAACAGGTCATGTATATCCACCATCTGGAACAACAGAGATCTCCAATGGCAACAGCCCCTGGTATAATGCACCTAGTAAAAATGGCATACCAGTATATACATATAACCTGTTAGTTATTGGGGTTACAAGTCCCAGGCATCATCCTATTACAGAGCACACTGACTGTTATTTCTCCTCCAGTCCATAACTTAAAAATAAAGTGTATGTGAACATCTGCATACATTGACATATATCTTTTAAAGCACATAAAGCTACTGTTAAATTCCAGCATGCCAGCCTGGCTATTTTGGACAAGGCTGTACCGGGATCTGCCACTGTGCAAGTGGAGATTCTGTGTGTTATCCACAGTCTGGGGTCTGCAGTAGTGGTGGCTGTGCCCCGGGCTGGGAGGGGAGGAACTGTCAGAATGGTAAGGATCATATATCAACACACAAAAAATCATATGATACAAAAATACAACATAACAATAAAAAAATTTGAAAATACGTGTACAACACATCGGAAAATGCAGGAAGTACACTGAAGAACTGTCACACTTTTATTTGGCTAAGACCACACTGACTTAATTTTATGGATGACATCCTCTGAAGACACCCAAACTAGTGCGCTCCAGAAAAATAAAAAAGTCCAGCCAAAAAAATGCTGCTAAACCACAGGAATAAAAAGCTGGCATTGTGAATTGCAGTAGTACACAGCGACTTTTACTACAAGCCGGCACATGCTGGCCTTTTGCAGTATTTATGAGTCGGCACTGTACTGATTTCTTGAGTTTTGTGGAGCTTGGGCAGCCTGGGTGCCTTCCTCCGTGTAGTTATCAACGGCTCCTTATTGTTGCTGGCTTTGCATACACCATGGACTACAGAGGATGGCACCCAGGCTAGAACCTTGGAGGTAATATTTTTTTTTAGAGAGAAAGCAAAAATCAATGCACACTGTCATCCACAAAATTAAAGCAGTGTGGCCTAAATTCCACATCAACGTAGTATTTAGTAATGTTACAAATTTATTACTTACTTGTGTTTTGATGTCAAGATGTCAACGAATGCAGCAGGAACACCGACATCTGCCACACCGAAGGCACATGCGTCAACACAGAAGGGTCCTACAAGTGTACATGTAACCCAGGCTACCAGTGGGATGGGATATCATGTAAACAAGGTAGGCACCATTATTAATCAATATGTTCCACCTCTGAAAGATTTTCAGTGTGTACCTTCTAGCTTACATCATTACATTGTCCAGAGACCAGTGTCTAAGTCTTATTCTCATTCTGTATCATTCTCTCTACTTCAGAACATCAGAGTGCTGGTGGTGGTCTGTCTGCAGGGGGCATCGTGGGCATTGTGTTGACATTGGTAGTGCTGTTCGCTGCAGCTGCAGCTCTCATCTTCAAGAAGTGTCGGACTGAGTAATTTGACGACATGTAAGTTTTTGTTTCCCTGATCAGTATCAAAATCAAATCCTCACAGACCTAAGACAATTGCTACTAGTGTATTTACCCAAGTATTATATAAGTATTTAGTATTATTAAGTACATGTATTATGCATAACATTAATCCTACACAAAGAGCTTGGAGACCAGATTTCAGTTGATCATGTCTCCATTGTTACTTTATCAGTGGAAAAGTCACAAATATCCATTACCCTTTACAAATCATTTGTTACGATTGTACATTGACGGGTTATTAGTACCAGGGCTGCTTATGATAGTAGGTTGAAAACAAGTCCCACAATCTTATGCTGTTTATCGTAATTCATCTTTAAGCAGATTATCTGATCTCAAAGAGGTTACTGTAGGATCGCTTCAATACAAGGATATGCCTGCAGCTGGGTCTATTAACCAAGATTAATTTGTGTAATAAATTGCAAGTTGTCATGATGTTAACACTTATGACAGAACAGTAAATGATATCACCTATTTTACCTTTACAGGCCTTGCAAGCCTCAGAGTCCACATCCAGTGTTTACAAATGTGGAGACTAGTGCTCTGTTGGTGCTGACATTGTACCTACCAGCTTGACTGTTGAACACAAACCATTCTAATGTTAAGTTGTTCTTATATAATCCAAAAATTTCAATGAATAACTTTAGTTGAATAAGCTTCATTGTATAACTATTACAAGCTCTAATATGGTGGTGTGTTATGCCAAAGTATGATTATATCAGCTATACAGATACTGATACAGATATCACATACATGTACGGGCATTACATGTAATTGCACATATTGGCACAGAAATCTAATGCAGTATAACTTTGATGGAGTAGCGATTATCAGTTTTTGTCAAAAGCACAGCATACTTATTAATTAGCTGTGTTATACATTATAATCTCTCATTGTCAGATGTGAATGCAAACATACAAGGCTATCATACTAGACTTACCATTTAAAACAACATTGTACACAATGTGCTTATGTCAAGATGAAACTTTTTCGTTGATGAACAAGGACGTAAGCTGGTTAATACCAGAAAAATTCTCTGTAACTCACCTAAAATTGCCACATACAGTACAGGCTTTTAATTTACCAGGACTCTATCCAGCTAAATTTTTGTCCATCCTCTGAGTTTAACAAGCAAATCTCTGTGTTGAGTTGTGAAATGCATGATTAAATTTAAAGGCATATATCTTACATAAAGCATGGTATCACAAAAACACAATAATATGGTCCATTCCAGATTCTTCAGTCAGAATCACCTCTCCTTGACCTCATGTTGTAGTAGCCACTCCTTCAACACATTTCCCTTGCCTGACATGAAGTTCCCCACACTGCCATCACTGTTCACCACCCTGTGACAAGGCACCAGTAGAGGGGTCTGGTTGGCTCGCATCGCCCCACCCACCGCACGGGACGCCCTCGCGTTCCCCGTCATCGTGGCCAGCTGGCCATACGATACAGTCTCTCCTACATCGACCTTGGTAGCCAGGTTGTGAAGTACGGCAGCTGTGAATGACCCTTCCTTGTACTTAGTGATGTGAAGGGGAGGCTTGCTCAGGCCTCGCACACTAGAGGCATCTTTGAAATAATCCTGGAACAAGAAATCAAAGATGTTATAGTCATACAGTAACTTCCCGTTACCTCCCTGGAAATGTTTCCATTCTAGTGATGTGTCCACAACTCCATGTCCACAACACAATCTTCCATTATATTAGTAGTACCTTGATCCAGTCCACACACTTTCCAAGCGGCTCACACTTGTTAACCAGCTCTTCTGCTGAACCATCCACAAGCTCAACCTCATATCTGGGGGGAAAGAGCATATATTGGTCACAATAAAATCAACATGTCATATTAGTAAATAGGGAGGGCAAATTCAAACCAAGTGTGTATGTATGAGAAAAAGGGAGAGTTTGTGTATGTCTCAAAGAGTGTGTGTGCGTGCGAGCACGAGAAAGAATTGTTGCAGGATTGTTATATTCTGAGTCACATGGTAAACTAAGCTCGTTGCATATATTCTAATAAAAAAAACGTTGGACTTCCATGTGCTGTAGCTCTAAGGGGGCGTTTTCCTCCGGATCCATAATATGCTCAAGTTTAGACGTTACCTGCTGTCAGGTGAAAAGTTCTTTGGCTCCTGTAGGTCCACCTTATGCACTCCTCTCATACACGACTCGATGGTTATCTGCCCAATGGGGCTCATCAATCGTGCAACAAACAGTTTGCACTCCATCTTTTAGCAGGAGTCTCAGAATTCCCGCCGCGATGACCAAGTCACTTCCGGGGTACGGTGACCTCTGTGCCGTGACGTCACAATTTCTTCCGCCATTTTAGCTAGACATCGGCCATTTTCTGGTGACACGTCTACGATCCGACGAAATCCGCGGGAATCGACCGACATTTTACTTTCCTGAGATTCCAAACAAGCCACAAAGAATCCCATCTATCAAGATGTGGAAGATTCGTGAAATCACGGACAAAGTGTGAGTGGATATTCTTGGTTTTTCCATGACGTTTGCGTAAGGGGGTGGGTACTCCGGAAGCTACGTGATCATATACACGAAGATTTCTATTGACTTCCGCGTCAGTGCTTCTCTACATTTCTTGCCTATTCCTCTATATATTGATCCAAACGTTCTTGATTTATTTACAGGCGATTTGGGCTTAAGTATTTTTACTGGGCAACATCCGTTCGTTTCAAAATATACCCTTAGTTCTCATTTGACAACCGGTCGGCCTTTCGCCCCCCTCCCTCAAAAAATGAAGACGGGAACAAATTATTTGAATTGAGAACGAAATTCTTTAATTAAATGCAGTTATCAATATGTATGATTTTATGTGAGAAATTGCTTAGATTATACATACCATGTCTGCGCGACCAAAAGCTCTACTTTTTAAGATATTTCATATAAAGATTATCAGTCAGAAATACCATTTAGCAAGATGAACAAGGCTTCATGATCTAAGTTTTCCCTTTTAGTAAGTTTTACAAGCCTTATTCTAAAGCCAAATGTAAATATTTAAGAAAAGATTTATGAAGTATCACAGAGTTCTCTCTTGAATCAAGAAACACCTGTATGTATAGCAGTTCAATAGAGGGCTTCTGTCCTAGCTAGAATTCAGCGCTAAGGAGAGACATAGGCAGAGGCATACAGACAGGCCGAAAGTGAAAAGTTGCATTGACAGGTGACAGAAAATGTACATGAATAACCCTTCCTTCTGTCTTCAGCACCAATGTGGTGATGAACTACTCGGAGGTGGAAGCGAAGGTCCGAGAAGCGACCAACGATGATGAGTGGGGCCCACACGGCACGCTGATGGCAGAGATCGCCAAGTACACCTTCACATACGAACACTTCCCTGAAGTCATGGGCATGCTGTGGAAAAGGATGTTACATGACCCCCAGAAAAACTGGAGGAGACCCTACAAGGTATAGAATACCAGATTATGAACTGTAAATTTAACATCTATATTAGTTTTGTAGATCCTCCGCAGTAACAAATAACCAAGGTTGCAAGACCAAAATTTGTGCTTTTGACTGTTGGTGCCCCTAAATATTTGTAAGGTTATGTATTTAAACTTAAGGCACATTGTGTACCATTGTACACTAAGTAGTGCGTATGTACAGCATATTCTAGAAACATGTGTCAGAAAAAAATGATCAAACCTTTCTTGTATGAAATCAAGATTTTTCAGTTAGCCATAGAAGTTCATATTCGAGCAGCTTCTAAACAAAAGAGTCAGCAAGGTTTGTAATAGGTTTTTAGGTTCTTATGTAGTGCACCTCAATTTTTTTCTCGATTTTCTGTGTACCTAAATTTTTTTAGTTAGTTTTGCCAATGCACGTATCCCTAAAAATGAACTTCAGGCCCTGCATTATAATGTGATCGACTGGCATATTACCACGGTAAAGAGAAAACCTTGATACCCTGCCAATTTTTTTCCCCTGGCAAAGTTTGAGTGGTTAATCTATGCCAGATGTTTATGTTTGGTCTGTTTGTAGACCAGAGTCCAAAAGGCAGGCAGTCCTACTGATCATAAAAACAACTCTGAAGCCAGCTTCCCAGCAGGGCAGACCAACAAAAACATGAGTGCAGCTTACTAGTATTCCATTCACCCAAAGCTGTTCACCACTGGATAGCACTGGGTGCATGTATTTCCCAGCCCCGTTAATTCATGCTTCATTTTTTCTTACCCAATTCTTCTATGATCATACAGTCCCTACCGCTGTTCTCCTTACTGTAAAAATCAGAGGACAGAAAAGTTAGATCTGCCTGCTATTCTCATGTCCTACATTTGGCCACTAGTATCAATTCTCGATTACTTAAGGGTTAAGCAGCAGGGAGAAAGATATGATAATATAATCCATTTATTTTCTGATCTTCCACAGTCGCTGCTGTTGCTGTCGTACCTTGTGAGGAACGGTTCGGAGCGGGTGGTCACCAGCGCCAGAGAACACATCTACGACTTGCGCCAGCTGGAGAACTACCACTTCAAGGACGAGCTGGGCAGAGACCAGGGAATCAATGGTTTGTTAGTTTACTCCAGAATACAGATGTACAATGGTGCTGGGGTAAAGGCAAGCAAGGTGGCTTATACGATGGCCCAGGAAGGGGACATGGGCCCTGTCTGGAGTAGAAGCAGTAGCATTTTACAGTTGGAAGCATTGAACAAAAAAAAAACATTCAGAAGAAAAACCCTATTCCTGCAGAATGAAATGAATTTACAATTTACCATTATTGTTCCAAATGCAGACTGAAAGATGTTCAAGTTAAGTGAGTTGAATGAATTTATAGTAGATGAACGTTTTTCTTGTGCAGATTATTGTTTTTTTACATAAACCTCTATCATACTTCGTTCAGTTCGTCAGAAAACCAAAGATTTGATTGACTTCATCCAAGACGATGAAAGACTCAGAGGAGAAAGGAAAAAAGCTAAGAAGACAAAGGACAAATACATTGGCATGTCCAGCGATGCCTTCGAAGGAGGTGGCAGCAGATACAGTGAGTTTTTTTTCTCCATGCTAAGATAGCCTATTGGTACTGAATTTGTATTAGTTACTGGTTAGAAGAAGTTAGGATCAGGTAAGGCCCAGGAGTAATGTTGTTTTTCTGATTTTGGTCCTGAAAAAAATGAACACTGAACACTTTAAGACTGAACTGCTTTAGGACACTGATATTTTTAACATCATAGTACATGTATATCATATTTATATAGATAAAATAAAGACTAGGGTGAGCAAGTTTTCCCTAGGGTTGGCAGGTCACCAGAAACATTTTTCCTAGGCCTAACATGTCCTATGGGGAAGAGACAGAAACATTATGTACTTTTATCCATAGATTCTATCTTCTTATCATTAAGTCTCCCTACCCTCACCCTCACATTCTTGTCACACTTCTTTCATAGAAATCCCCCAGTGATATTATCCTTGATAAAAACATTATCTATAGTATAAACTTCAAGTTCACCATTCTGAATGCTAATCATTTGGTGCAATATAATGCTTAAATATTAAAATAAAAATTAAAATAAAGTGTTGAATTGTAGTGAATAGGAAAATTTGCTTATAGCTGAAAATATATATTCAGGAAAGATCCATATTTTTTTGCTGCTTTAGGACAGAGAATACACGAATTTGAAAATTTTCTAGTACAGTAGTAGATAAATAGATTACCTTTCTGTTAGTCTTCAGCAATAGAGGCATATGGCAGGCTTGTATAGGTAGAGTGAGGCTACATACATGTATGTGGAGCATTTATCACATAATGACTTTGCACACAGCATTGCTCAGGTAGTTTCGTGACAGAAAACGTCTAGATGTAGTACATCATAGTCTCGTAGGCAGTGTTTTGTTCAACATTTACCAATAAAGGCAGCTAGTTAGACCATCATATACAGAGATGTGCATCTATGATATGAAAGTATGATCACTCTCAGCAATTCCAGAACACACCCTGTGATTTTTAATTTTTGTATGGAAAATCATCAGAGCTTCTTTTTCTTTTGTTTTTGTCCAAACGCATACTGACCTACCACTGATACTTACTGAATTAGCCTGGTGTCCATCCTATTCTAGCTCCAGTTCACTCCTCCCTTGCATAATAGCCTGTCACTGATTAACCAAAAAATGATATAATGAATGATTATACCATTCAACCTGTGGCTGCAATATATTGTTTCCTCATAAACCTAACAAAACTAACAGAGAAGTGATCAGAGGAGCAAATCGGATGAATTCCAGGCTACACTCACTGTTATACTAATGGGTGTTTTTCTATGATCTTTTGCACATTAACCTATGGTGTGTTGGATTACTGCTGTGTTCCTACTGATTTTATTTGTGCACTGATATCTGTAATCTGCCTGATTTTTGCTCCTTTCTCTCCACCTCTTCTCACAGAAAGGAGCCCTGATGGTAGGACCTGCTTCTTTATACTTCTGCTGTTTTCACACAAGCAAGTTCTAGCTTAACCTTCTCCCTGCAGCCTAACCCTGTAACCAGTAGACATTTTGTGAAAAAAAAGCTACTTCAGCAGGGATAAGGTTAAACTGATGCACACTGATGTGAACTGTAGAAGTAGTATTAGTTTTGGAGATGTAAATTACAGTAATATACTACATGTATAAGAACCATAATTCGATGGAAAAGTTTTGGAGATGTCCAGCCATTGGTTCAGTTTCTTAAGTCATACCAAAGACTAAAGATCTCTTGCTCAAGACTTGATACGTACATGTAGGAACTTCACAGTACAGCCCGACTACAGGTATTTGTTTTGTATTGGCCCAGGTAGATTAAAAGACAATAGTGAAGGGGGGAATTTGAAGATTTTTTCAACTTGCTCATCCATGTGGGTTAAACTCCACTGTCCAGACTCTTTCAAGTATGACAAGAAATCTACATGGCTTAGAGTCGGCATTTTAATTACTTTCTTACCTTGGGGAAAATTCACAATCACTTCTGGCCTTGTCACTTGAAGAGGTTCACAAAAACATGTATTGAAAGAAAGCACTAAGTAACAGGTATGTCCTTTGTACAACGTGTTTGGTCAAAAAGTGCAGTTCAAACAGGCTTAAAATTTTTAGTCAGCATGACACTGTACAATGTAAACAGTCCTGTTTGACCAAGTGGGTTCTGTTCTATATTGGAGTGTTGTACTGCACCTACATTCAAGGTCTGGAAAAATATGGTAGACTCAGAGCTGAAAATACTGGATGCATATGCACTTTTGTGCAGTTACAATTGGAGATGTGCACCTAAGTTTATAATGGTAGGTGCACTGGTGTACCTAGATAATCCTGTAGGTTTACGTACATTAAAAATAATAAAACCTTTGTTAACAATGAAAAGTATTGAAGTCAGCTATAGAATTCCAGACCTTAGCTATGAAGAGAGGCAGGAAGGTTTGTCATAAGCTTTCACTAACATTCTACCAGGGTTGAGGTTATCTGCACCTCAATTCAGATTAGGTGGACTGGCCAAAAATATATTTCAAGCCCTGATTACAAAAATTTGACAGGATGATGATTTATTAGGATTTTGAAGATAAGACATCCGGGGTGGAACGTCCCGGAATAATTTATCTGCTGTGACCAGGGTTGGTAAAGCCTGGTGCATTGTTCTGTGGTAACATCACACGGCCGGATTTGCATAGCTGCATGCACGCCTGTCACCTCGGCCTGTCTTACACAAACAACCGCACCCTGAGACACTGTCCTTTGGACGTCTCCTGGTAGTTCTTCTAGAAAGCCCGCTCTTGTCACACTGTCTGAGAAATCATGATGAACTTAGGTAGGCATAGGCAAGGGTACTGTGCTGTGCTGTTAGGTGAGTTCATTTTACTTGCAACTGTATACACTGTAAATAATAAGCATCAGTAGTGGTTGTGTAACCATGATTTATAAGAGGTAATGGCAGAGAGCTAAGTACGTATGTTTCTTGATTGTAATTAGGTGTACAAAATATCTGTAGGTCATGCGTCTCCTTAACATTAAGGTGCAGCTGAAGGAGTAACGACATCTGCATGCACCACGCGTCCACTTGTTGATGGTCCCTTAGATAATTTTTCCCATTGATACAAGCATTTAAGAACTGTAGTGACCACCTGGTCACATAGACCAGCTTTTATTTGTCCTGAGTAGTTTTCTTTGGCAATTTTGACTGTGCGTTCAATTTATCTATGTGTGTGTGTGTGTGTGTCTGTAAAACCTGTTTTTGAGACGGCTATATCCGGGTCAGTGAATACGTGGCTAGTCCAGCCATTAGCACATGTCTAGTAAGTAGTTGGAGGGAACACATGCCATAGGCCCATATGCCCTAAATTTGAAACACCATTGTTAACATCAGACATATTTGTTTAAACTCAAAGACCTAACTATTTATTCAGGATTGTAGAAGGTTGTAGAATCTTGACAGGTATGAAAAATATGTAGTCTTCTGTTCCTGTCTTAGTGTTTTTTGGCTCTTGCTTATTGCCAGTCATGGTCTGCCAGTGTTCTGGTATGATAGCTAGAAGCAGTCAGTGCCAAAGTACCCACAGACAGACAGGCAAACATCAGCTTAAAAGTGAATGTTTTGAAAAAGACGGCATGTATAGCCAGTGATTTAAAGTGTATTTGTAGGGACGTTAAAGTCCTGCAGTTTTTGGAGTTCTACCAACTATTACTGTGAAAGTGATGATACTGATGGTATGAATCAACCCCAAAATACTAATATTTTGGCACCAACAGGTTAAGAAATGTCTTTTAACTTACAGTTTTTGGGTTATCAATCCATAAGAATTTTAAAATCACTTGCTTCAAATGTTTACCAGCTTAGTTGAATTAGTAGCCCCTCCTCCCACCAGCTCCATGGATTTTCCTGAAATCCGTGAACCGAGAAATGAAATTGGTATGTCCTAATACACAACAGTGCTCACCTGTAAGCCCCTTACCTTCCCCAGGTGACAGGTATGACCCGGAACCACGTAACCCAAGTGCCATGAAGGAGTACGACGATGAGATTGAGAGACAGAACCGTACTCGGCCCAAGTTCAGCCTCCCCGCCCGCATCTTTGAAGACTCACCAGCAGGAAGGTATGTCATCTGATGTTCTACTAATATACGTTGTCCAAATTGTCATCTTTGAGATGCAGTTTACCTCTATTTAGACAAGTTTAGTGTAAGAAAATGGTGTCGTTATTTTGTTCAGGTACAGGTACACCAGATATTAAAGTCAAAGCCTGTACCTAAACAATTTTATAGCTCCAGATACAGGTATTAGACACACAGCCTTATGTTTTGAGGTTCATTAGTGAACTGAGACATGAGCTTGTGAGAGTGAGATGTGGTTTCCGCTCTCCCCTACAGTGTAGGAGAGTCTGACGAGGATGAAGGTTATGCAGATGAGCCCACGAACAGAAAAGGAAAGAAATCGTGGAAAAAAGAGTGAGCAAATCTGTAGACTGTAACCCTTGCCTAGTAGTAAAATGGCTTGGATCTGCTCTCTTTGCCTCTAGTAGGGGTGGCTTGTTTTGTCATGATGACCTCCATAAGCACTGCCCTCTCGTGCATGTGTGAAAAATGTAACAGTCAAAGCTGTCTCCAGCTTGAAATTTTTGTTGGGGTTGTGGTGTTCACAAAACTCCAAGGTCCTTGGGCATGCACCCCAAGAAAAGTTTATAATTCCAACCCTCTGAGCAATTTTTTTCACATTTCTTCATTTAAAAAAAAGGTTTTCGTTGCTAAATCTGTTATTTCCAGCATATGAAAATAGTTTTTTACGAAAACTAGATTTTTGGGATGGACAAGTTAAAATTTTTGTCCGTCCCAACAAGTAAATTTCTATTCAGGAACAGAGGAGCAGGTCCTGGAGACAGCTCTGGTAATAAGTATTCTGTCTTTAACAAAAGTCTTTCATATCAAGGCTGTGATTTCTTTTAGTAGGCTTCTTGGAGACTAATGCTTACTGTTCCACTGCTTTCTCCAATCACCTGTTACTGACTTGGTGTGACATGTGCATGTTTCTTTCTGGTGCATTTGCCTTGTTAAAAGTTGTTTCTTTGTCTGCTCATCATTTTGTCAAGTCACATTCATGTTGGTAGGATAGCTTTACTCGAGGATGACATTGCAATTTGAGGGGAACAATCAACTGTTAAAAAATCTATTAGTTACTTTAAATGCAGTACACGCCAGCCTTTAGTCATTACAAAAGACTGATTCTGATTAAGTGTTCGGCTTTATTTAGCATACCTGTATCAATAGTATAGCCATGTTGAGTAACGCTTTATTAATGACTGATGCAACCCTTACTTCGTCCACACCAATTTAATTTCTTGGTCTCCCATTTGCTTCTCCAATTTTTCTAATTGGAAAAAATCACAATCAAAAGGTCACATCATATACCATTTAACTGTATAAATTAATCCCAAAATATTGATGTTTTTGCTCCATCAGTACAAGAAGATCTTGACTTTCACTGTTTTCGCATGAATCGATACATAAATTTTGTTTGACATGTTAACCAGCCTGGTATGTTGACTTACATGTAGTGGCTCCTGTGGTACCATTTAGGTCTATCACAAGAAGCATTTATCTTGTTCATTTTATATTGCCAGCCAGCTCTATCCTTTTCCTGCAAAAATCCAAGAACCAAGAAATTGAGATGCCGTGGCATTAAGGTGCATACCTCAGCCACTATTTACAGATGTTGTCTTGTTTTCTTGCTGGTAACCATAGTAACGGCAGCGGAGGTGGAGGGGATGAGGATGCAGAGGAAGCATACAGCGATAGTGAGGACAGGGGGAGTAATTCATTCAAAGATGAAGAAACGTACGAATCCCATGAAACAACGATGACGACGAGAAAAGAGCGCGTGACCAAGAGGACATCAAGAGGCAAAATTGACCTGGGAGCAGCGGCCTCATACGGGAAAACTGCAGGAAGAACAGAGGTAAGACCATGCCATGGGAACTTGTTGGGTCTCAGACTACGTCGTTGAATTGTACTAGTAATGCTAACTATAATTTTTTAAAAATGTATAAGCTGTTTCTTGCTAAAGTTGTCATCATTTGTGCTTACTTGTGCTTTTGTATTCTTGTGGTGGTATCAACATAAACTCTATACCGGTAAACATGAGTGCACTACCACTTTCTGTCTAATTATCAAATAAAGAAAAATGTTCAAACCTGTCCTACATTATTCTAACAGGAGGCAAAGGAGACAAATGCTGTTGCAGCGAAGCCTAACAACGACCTTGACCTTCTTGTGGACACTGCTCCGCCCGTCATGCAGCCGACCAGTCCTGCCGGCTCCTCGTCAGGGTTCGCCAACTTTGCCGACTTCAACTCCGCACCCGCGAACGATGGCTTCAACCCCCGAGGCAGGACCGTTTCTCAAGGTAAGGAAACGCATCTGTCACGTGGAGTCGCACCGTGTTACAGTGTTTATGATGCCACAATTCAACCAAGGATCCCCTCACAACATTTTTTTACTGTTTTTCAGCATCTCAGGGCAGTGATTTTGGTGCATTCCAAGCAGTTCCAACAAGGTAGGAAGGGTTCGACTGTTTTGTATCTTGCAATTAAAGAGTCACAAAGCAGAATGGGCAATGATAATGGGCTAAAGTCTGCCATCTCTGATACTTCCATCAGCCTGTAGTTTAACTTGAAAGTTACTGTTACCAGTATAACAGGTGTCATGTTGTTTTTCAGAATGCTGAAAGTTGAAAACTTAGGTGATAATTTAGTTTATGTTTGATTCTCTTCTTCTCACCTGTCAGTCCTCCGGAGCAGTCCTATGCAGCATTCCAGTCCACAGAGTTCTCCTCCACCACGTCCACCAACCTGACGTCTGCCAACATGAGTAACCAGGCACTGCTGGGGGCCATGATCACACCACAGCCCATGCAGGTAGGGAACAGTAACCAATGGGCTTCTAAGTCTGATGTCTGTTAATACTTTCATCAGGTTGGCAAAGCCCCTGTCACAGATAGCTGACCATAGACTATGACTCCATACCATGGTTGGGAGTTAGTCAGCAGCAGGGTCATCTTTGGTTGGGAGTTGGTGTATGTGTGTGTGCGTATAATGTGTGTGACTTGCAGGTTTCACATTCCTGCGAGTCTTTTGTTAGCAACATACAAATTCATACATATACAAAGTTTGTTTTTTTTGCGAGCTAACATCATTCCTTCGGTTTTCCAATGTTCATGTGTACATAATTGCAGAGTAACATGTGCTTTTGTGATGCCTTAAATTTCCTGTTGTCATAAAACTCAGTATATTGTCACTACCACATGTATTGTGATGCTTTGTCTAGACCAGTACATCTGATACAAAGATATGTCGAGCACAAGATATATATATTGATTTTGATATGCTGTCATTTTCTACTTTTCTAACACACCAGTCCATTCATATGAACAAGCAAGCAAAATAGGTTGCTTTTAGTACTGAAATACATGTACTGTCAACTATTACCATAACTTGTACTTAACCACTAATTAAATAATTAACCACCCATCACACTGCCCAGTCCCTGTCACACAACCACTAATACTAATAGCAAAATACAAGCAAATTCTCATACTCATTAACAATTGTCAATAAACAGCTTTTCTCTGGGACCTGGTTCTCCGTGGAAGGCTTATCCTATTCATACTCTGGACATTACTAACTCTACGAGGTATTGCAGCAGCATTTGATAACTGGTGCATTCACCAAGCAACTAACATTGATTAGGGATAGAAGTGCAAATTTCTATTCCTAATCTATTCCCCTATCCCAGTGATCACTAGCTTTTGGCACTTGCCTACTCCCTCCAAAATTCACTGAATCAATTCCCCATGTTATAGTGTACTTGTGTCTTTCCATCCACTCTTGTTTTATGACCAACTATCTTCTCATCTACCCATCTTCTCATACATCTTGTTAGCTTTTATGTGTTGTTATTCATTTGTTTGTTTTTCCCTAGCCAGTTTATTTATGTCTCTTCACATGCGCAATACATAGTACATTCACTGATTTCACTCTCTTTAGCTTGCCCTTCCTTCTTTTGAAAGTTGTTTTTTAGCTATAGTTTTGTTTTTGTTGTTGTTTACTTTTCCGTAGATGATGCAGCCCTTGGGGGCCCAGCCCCTTCAGCCCCAGCCTGCCCTGCAGCCGACCCAAGCTCCCCAGTTCCCATCTCTTAACGCCCAGCCTTCTAGTTCTACTCCTGCTGCCACTGCCCCTGAGGCAGGCACGCCGCAGGTAGTGCAGTTTCATCCACAAATTTCATCAAGCTGAAACACATAAGAAAAATACTGTAAATTGTTTTCAAAATTAAGGCAATAAAATGGTTGCAGACAGGGACAACCAAGCATTATAAAAGCTACAACCTGGAAAAATGATAACAGGTTGTGCAAAAATAAAGGCAGTCATACAGTGTATAGAACTGAAACAAGTCAAGTTTAAAGGTGCATGGATTATAAGTCCTTATTCAACTATACAGTGAAGGTGTATTGGATTAAACTTTCTAAGGACTTAACTAGAGTGATTTGTGAGGAACCCTTACTGTCATGTCTGTTGTTCCTAGAAGCCAGTAGCTCGACTGTGGGCCAACACTAACGTCAACATTAACCTGGACAACCTGAGCCCAGGACGGCAGCCAGAGAGACCGGCCCAGCCCAGTATGAACCAACTGGCTGGACAAAACCCCATGGGTGGTAAGGAAACGTCCTACCTATGTACTGATGCTGGTACAATCATTGTGGCATGGTTACAGCATGTTTTATGATACATTGTCCATGAAAATTCCCATACTCTTAGGTTTTATGGCATATCTTTGTCTTGTGTGTGTTTCTGACCTACGTAAAGTCTGCCATCTCATTACCCTGTCCTCCTGTAGTTAGTCCATTTTGTTTCCTTTCACAGGAATGCCGGCGGGCATGACGTCGCCTCAACAGATGATGAGCCCAACCAGCCCCATGAGAGGCATGCCCGCCAACATGGCCCCCATGCCCTCCAACATGGCCACCATGCCCACCAACATGGCCCCCACTGCCCACCAGCATGGGTCCTATCACATCAGGGATGGGCAACATGCAGCTGGGCAGTACCCCCAATGATGAACCCCATGATGCAGCCAAATATGGGCATGCAGCAGCCAAATATGGGCATGCAGCAGCCCATGATGGGCATGCAAGGCACCATGGGAATGCAGCAGCCAGGAATGGGGATGGGCATGCAAGGCACCATGGGAATGCAGCAGCCAGGGATGCAGGGAATGGGGATGCAAGGCACTATGGGAATGCAGCCAGGAATGGGAATGGGTGGAGGAATGGGAGCAGTACCAAACCAGATGCAACAGAGACAAGACAAAGCATTTGCTGCCTTTGGAAACTTCGGGAAATGATGTAACAATGGTACTACAAAAGTACATTTCAGAGACATTTTTCTGTAACATTTTCTTATCTCATAGTATTAGATTAAATGTATTGGGCTCAGAAAGAAAATTGGGTGAAAATTTCCACAGCAGATGATAGTGCCAATATCAGGTAAGATGTCAGAATTTACTCGGATTGGAGGTATATAGAAACAGAAACATCTCTTTAAAGAAAGGAACACAACAGACTTTTGAACTAGTTCCAATATGCATGGAAGACATTTAAATTATGCAAAAGAGAAGGTTAGTCATACTAGGGTCCACAGAAAAATGTACACAACAGCTTCATAATTCAAAATTACAACCTGATGAAGTTTAGATTCTCATTCTGAGCAGCAAAAGTGATGACTTTGGCAATGCCTGTGGGTCAGAGCCTTTTAAACAGAAATTGTAATTGTTTATCCGTTGTTTCTCATCATTCTGCCACAATGGTTGTGGAGTAACTGCAGCTTTGTAAGGAGAAGAAAATGTTTTGTACATGAAGTTCTACGTGTTGGACTGTAGCAAGCAGTGCTGGAAGTGCCTGTCTTAGGCCATACAAATTTACTTCCTTGGTTCTGATATTTTTTATCAAAACTGCAAGAGGACATGAAAACAGAGGGCTAGGAGAAAAATCTGCAGACATAACCTCCAGACTCTGTTTTCATATTGATCTACCACTTCAGCATTGTTAGTTTTTGAATCTGAGAACTAACAAAATTGGCCTTTGTTCAGACTCAGAGAAAGGGATGAATGCATCAGGAGTCTTAGTAACTGAGGAGGATTGTGAATAAAGTGATTAGGATTTGTGATGAGGGTAAATGTTCCATACAATGTATGGACAATCTTCTGACATGCCCATATTAGGAACTCCAATGATAGTACCAATTACATGTAGAAATTAGCATGTGGCTGTTTTAAATACTTGTAATTACAGAAATATTGTATATATATTCAAAGTTATGTACCTGTACAGTCAAATCTTGGTAATTGTTACATGGTTAATGATGATAATAATGATAATGTTAAGAAAACGTCACATTGTAGTGTAGTCATGCAGATCTATTTTTCACATGTCTGTTTTGTAGCTAGTGTTTGCTATAATAATTCTGGCACATTCCAGGAAGAACTCTTTAGGGGTAGTCTCAAATCTTTATGTGCAGGTTCCATACCAAATCAGTTTTAAGCGACAATTTTGACAAAGCACACTGCAGGGGTGTTAGGGAGTGATGGGAATCGCGTGTGGTCACATATTCTGCTGGTGTTATTCAGTGTGTCTGCTTGGGAACTGCACCTAGTTTCTTGTTGGTCAGCCTAAATGAAAAACAGCACTTCTAGAACAAAACTGGTAGTCAATCCCTCTCAAGATGTAGAATGGACAGGTAGATATGTGGTTACCCCTGACACACGCTAGGAAAACAACAAGGACTTGTTCAAGTGCATCAGCAACAAATGTCCCGTTTCAATCATCTGTCCATTGTGTGTGAAGAACAAAAGTTTTATGCTAACTACTTATACCTGCAGGTTGGGAATTTAAAGTTGAAATAGTTGACCATTTGTATCTACAACATCTCATCTATCACTTAGTCTAGTTATTTGTGTGGCACCACAGAAGAGCTGACAACGAATATCCAATCTTGGTTTTCTGTTCCTAATGTTTCACTAAGTGTCGTGCCAGTGCATTCTCTGATAAGATCCTCCCATCTTTTCCATTTCCTACCCCTCCTTCCTACCTGGACTGTTCTTGTTTGATGGTTTTGGCTGGTCCTGATGACCGTAACATGTAACCATACCACTTCAGTTTCCCACATTTGGTCACAGAACGTGGGAGAGACATTGCCTAATCTGACACGAACGTGTAATGATGGGCAAACCACTTCAGTGTTTCCGTTGTTATTGTCACTAGTGTGCAGGAAAAAAATGAAGCCAGCCTGTGCAATTTGGGCAAGACTTTTCCAGCTACACATATCAGGATTTCTGTCCACAAAGTCGTGATTATTAACACCTCACAAGTGAATTCATTCTTAGTTTCTTTTGTGATGTTACAATCAATATGTTTACTGGACAATATGATTATATTAAAATGCCACAAATACAATGAGTTTTTTTGTCCACGTTCCAACGCTAATTCTTTGTTCTGAATAAATAGGACGATTTTATTCACAAGGTGTCGTTAATACGTGTCTGTTTTACGCAAGCCAAGTGTGACAAGAATAGGTATTAGCTGGGGTTGCTGTTGTTAAATGTCACACCGAATAGACCGGTGTCCCTCTCCTTGGTGCTGAATGACACTTCAGCAATATTTGTATTTGCACACAGATTGTAGTTGCCAGTCATCACAACGACAAATGCACCTAAAATGCAGTCGTTCAACAGAATGAAAGCACATCACTCTCCTGGCAGAGGTTGAGTTGGAAGATTGTGGCCGTTTTCTGACAGCCGACCCAATAATTAATTGGACACTGTCTCGCCGGTTTGTAGGGACTTTGCCATCGAAAGATCTGCTTGTAGACTACAGAGGACAAACAACAAGGACACTAGAACAACGCAGGGTGACCTTTTTCTTACCGCTGCCCTTTGAACACAGACAAAGCTTTGCTTGCTATGTGTCACGTGTCAATAGCGACACAATAGACACGCAGCAGTAAATCCTCAAGGAAATACATATATTACGCCCTTGGGATGATCCACGCACGGCATATTGGAAAATCTTGCGTGGTCAAAGTATCTGCAACGACGAAAGACGTGTCATCTAGCAAACTCCGAGCAGCTCTGACTGGCGACGTCGTAGCCAACCGGCACTAGCCAATAAGCAAGACACTGTCCATTAGGTCACCGTTGATTGGGCTGGCTGGCAGAAAACAGTATTGGCTGGCTGCCACAAAACATCACAATCTTCCCAATCAACCTCTGCTTGGAGAGTGTCTTTCATCGGTACAATATGTGGCAGAGACGATTTGATACAAATCTGTTGAGAAAGATTTCTATCGTCGGCGCCAGTGCAATTTTTGTGGCGCTTCTTGCGATGGGCGCCGGAGCGGGCGGTGTGTATCTTCAGTTCACCGGGTACACCAAACCGGCGGTGTCGTTCTTAGGAATCCCCTGCGCAACAATGTGGGTTCCAAGTCTGAACATCCTGGCGGGATCGGTGGTTCTACAGGCTAGCACGCGTCGGAACTCGCCAGATTCATACCTCATGACTGTTGCCATGTACTCGTCCATTGCCGCCGTCATTCCCGCCGCACTGGAACTCGTGCTGGGGTTCATGGCGACTATAGAGGAACACGAGTACCAGATTCCACTGGAGGTATTGTTTGTGATTTTTATCTATCAGATTCGAATTCCGCGGGGGGGTATCCATTGTGATTTTATGGATAAGGTTAGATCTAACCTTTTAGATTTAATGTCAAGTATTAGTGGTTACGTTTGATTGTCAATTATAGTACACGTGTTTTGTTATCAATAGTAGATGTAAAATGAAGGTTTGTTTTCGTCTATTCAAAGATAGATAACGTTCCGCTGGTAAGTGGGTTGTCCCGTAATGAGGATTTACATGCACAGGGCAATTAAATAGAAATACACACGATTCAACGCAAGACTGCACACTTTTAAAGACGATGTAAACCAGTTTACTATGATTCTTTAATTTGTAAAATCACCGATAATTAGAAGTCAATGATTGTTGAAAATAAGGAAGTAGCCTGATACGCACGCTTTCAGATGGCGCCCGCCATCTTTCTTCGAAGTTTCAGCTCTAATTCATGTCAATTGTTTTATGTATTTACTGTTAAATAATGTAATTCAGCCGGTGGCTGCGATATACATTTCATATAGTTGATCATAGTCATAGTAATTCATTCATTCGTTCGTCTATTCGTTCGTTCATTCATTCAGGTTGAGGGGGTGAGCCCGTATGCTCTGCTGACAGCCGCGGCGGTGGAAGTATTCGGACTTCTCCTGCTCATCCTGACCATCGTCGCTGCCATTCTCTGCCATAGGATCTTAGTACGGCATCGGGTGAACAAGTATCTGCTTGGGACCAAGTGGGCGCAGTGTAAGGATCGGCCGGACGAGGACGACATCGGAGTGGACCACTCGCCCCGCCCCCCTCCCAGGTCTGTGCTTCGCGGTAAAAAGATAGGGGGCCGTGAGTGGGTTGTTAATCCACTGCCCCTAAGGTCAAGGTATTGGAAGGCGGGGCCCAGCCCTCCCTCTCCCTCTAAGGGGCTTATATAGTCTAATTATTTGACAGTTGAATACAACAATCTGCCAACCTGCTTTCTCCTCCCTTCATGTTTTTTTTCATGTCCGTTCACTCTGATATCGCAGTCTCGTTTTACTGAATAAACCATTGTTAATATTGTTCTAGGTCTGTGTGCTTCGTGGTGCCGATACCTGATCACGCCTTGCAGAAGTTTGAAGCCAACGGGTTCACCAACGCGTACCCATACGACTGGGTGTCTGCTGAGGACGATGTTAGGAATAAACCGCTGGTGGAGTCACCGAAACCGCAGAGACAGGTAAAACTTCAGACTTTAAGACTCTGATGCGACGAAAATTCGAATACTAATCTTCATGGACTTCTTGACATCACCAACGCCACACAATGATAATAACATTCACTCGTCTAATATCTTCAACACTCACACTTTACACAGTGGCAACTGTTTACATATACATTTCTGTAACTCGGCAAATGCAGAATATCATAAGAGTTTTTCCCTGGTCACATGCAGTAGTTAGACGACTACTGGTGCATCAGAGACTAAAGATAAGATATTACCTGCAGTGTTGATACTGAACAAGGGAAGAGACCAAACTTAATATACTATATAATGCTGTGTTACGACTAATTTGACATATGGGTTCATCTGTAAAGACAATCTGCTGTTACAAGGTAGCCTACGGCATTGTATTCCTGCAGGTAAGCCGGGTGAGCAGCAGCAGCAGACGTGTGCGGTGGGGAGGGGTGACGGCTCCTGCGGGCCGGCCCAGACCAGCGGAGTCCGCACAGAAGGCACCGGGAGGCAGGAGGGTCCGCAGGTCCGCAACCACCAACAAAAAACAACACCGAGACAACAGGAGGAAACCGGCCGTCAAGTCCATGCGAAATGCATGGGAAATTTGAACCCATAATCTAATATCGTTTGTTTGTTTGTTTGTTTGTTTGTTTGTTTGTTTGTTTGTTTAACACAAGACCCTCTTGTCACCTTCAACAGTCATCGTGACACCGCTCTTTAAAATGTGTGTGTGCGAAGCTAAAGGTCTTTGAAAGGGCCTCACCTTTTTTCTGTGAATAAAAAATAGAGATCATTACTGTTGTTAACATTTTGCCTACAGCATTCGCCAACCGACTCGCCTAGCCATCGCCGAATATTGAAAGCATAACTCAACAGGTGCTTTCACTGTTCAGGTATTAAAGAAATTGATATTTGTTAACAAATTTTTACGTCAGCCATACAGAGGGAAAACGATTGCAATGGTACGGTATGTGTCCTCACTACTACCGCGGAGCTGTTATTTTGTCACTTTTCACGTACACGACAATGTGACAAGTCTTTTCGTTGTTGTGAAGTCGTTTCGTTGTTGTGACTTTGGGGCAGGCCTACCTGGGATGGTATCATCCATAATTCATTTCGTGATCCATTATCTCATGACTCATATCCGATCAAAATCACATGGCAGAAGATGTTCGGTAACTTTTTAGCGGGCATCGGACCGGGTTTTTTTTTTTTTTTTTTTTATTCATCAAAACATACAGACATAACAAGGACAGTGTGACGCTGCACTCAAGTTAACAACTTATATTAACAGCGCCACACACAAAAAAGGTACAATTAACATTTAAATATACAAAGTTGACATGTGCGCCGTAGTCCCACCACCCCAAGACATTAAAATATTAAATTAAATGCTAACAGAGCTATTTGAAAGATAAGATTACATGGTAACCTCCTATATCTCATTGGCGGAAAAACATCCGCCAATCAGAGCTAGGAGGAGAATTTAGGCCCATTAACACTTACGTAGTATTTGGACTTCTATATCTAATTGACTGTTAGAAACAGTCAAGCAGAGCTAGAAGCGCTTAGTATCTCCAATGTAAACCTGAGTGAGTTGCATCGTTTTAAAGTTGTACATAGAGGGTAACATTGAGGAGCCTCTAAGAATGAAGTGCAGTGACCGGGTTGTTCCTGTACGTGCTAAAATGCGTATGTACCTGGGCTTCTACCACTGTGTTTTCTGCCTGATTGTACTTCAACGCCACAATGTTCTATCTACTTGTGGCCGAGTCGCCGTATAGAAAGTAGTTTTTAAACGGGTCTTGCATTCGTAGCACACCGTACACCGTGCCTTGTCAAAATACGTCGTAGTTGAGTTCTGTCTGGAATAGACAACTGCGCACGTTCTCGTATGATGCACGGCTTTGTGATTTGCCACTAGACTCAACCACGACCCCAGGGCGCTTTGGTCACAGCGCTGGATACCTGGGAACGAGATGGGCAGCAGTCATTCATATGCGCAGAAAGTGACGGGCGTCATACCACTCGTGGAAGAACCTGTCACAGCCGGTAAGACGATGATTTTTTTCCGAAGTGCATCGATCGATTTATTTACCAAAAACGTCATAATGTCAATTTACGTGTACCAGAATGGTGTACGATAGTACGGTTTATTCGGTGTCTTTTGTGATCTAGCTCCATAACTCAGGTAGGACAGGGCGGCCAATCCGACCGGTCGACCCGCTAATGTCGGTATCTGTACTGCGTAGCCCGGCAGCTGCAGGCTTCACTAATACAGGCTTTTCATACTTGGATGATTAGATATTGAAGATTGAAGAAACTGTACTATTTTATCAAGTGTAAAGCTGAAATCGCATCTAAACCTGAAATCGCAGCAAAAGTAACAGCACAGGGCGGCCTAAGCGCTTCTCCGAGTCCACCTGAAGGGCGAACAACTCTGCCGAACCTGGGCAAAACACACGACGCCATATCTTTGCCATACAAGGGCAATGGTGCAACGGCGGTGCGCCACTCCCAAAAATTCTAGCGCCACTCCCAAAATTTTCAAATTAAGGGTCTTCTCTTCGTATTTTCGCGGATAAATAGGCAAAAAAACATCGAAATCTTGACGCGAGTGGCGTCCATTTTCCCGTCGGCATTGTTTCTGGAACTTGTGAATGGGCGATAATCGAGTAAACAATGACCATTTCGCACGACGCTACCGAGAGAATAGCTATCATTGGTGGAACATCGGGCGCCCCGCTAGCGTTTTTAAGTCATGTAAACAACGCTAATTGTCTGATTGGTTTGTAAAACAAAGCCCTCGACCCCGAAAATAAGTTTATAAAGCCGATATGTTTACGAACTAGCCGTGGAAAATTCCCCTACCGTACCGCACCATGTGCATGTGGCGGCCGCAAAATTCGGTTAACTCATCAGATAAATGTCTGGCCAGTATAGCGGCATTTCCCATGAAAATAATGTATATTATTTATTTTTCGCCTTCTGTCGGTTTTTAAGTTACAAAACGTCTGAAAAAGCAGAAATTTGCCCACAAAACCGGACGGGGGAAGGCGAGTAGCTATCGACCTGAAGCACATGGCGAGGCAAAATCAAAATCGGCAACGCGGAAGAAAAATGCGTGGTCCATTTTAGCGATATTTACCATGAAAATAACGAATGTGGTTTATTTTCCCTCTGGTGTTAGTTTTTAGGCCCCGAAACCTCTGAAAAAGTAGAAATTTCCCCATAAAACGGACGGCTGAGGGGTGGGAGGGCGCAGGCGAGAGAGCTGCATGACCCGTAAAAAGTCAAACGTCATAGGGCACGAATATTACGCAATCACCCTAAAGCGCCGATTAAGCTAATTTTAGGGCGTTTAAAATTGATACAATCACATTATTGATTTTTAGAAAAACAATGGGATGGAAACCAATCAAAACTTTGTGCTGAATAATTTTTTTTCAGAATTTTTTCTTCTGAATTTTTTTCTTCTGAATTTTTTTCTTCAGAATTTTTTTTCTTCAGAATTTTTTTCTTCAGTTGTTTTTCTTCAGTTTTTTCTTCATAAGTTTTTCCTTCGGAAGTTTTTTTTTTCTTCAGAAGTTGTTTTCTTCAGAAGTTGTTTTTCTTCAGAAGTTGTTTTTTCTTCAGAAGTTTTGTTTTTCTTCAGAAGTCCCCAGGAATCCCCCCCCCCCTCTCCGGACCTCTCCCCCCTCACAGCCGCGCTTCGCGCGGCGTCGGGCACTGCGTGCCCTCCAAAAAAATGCCAGCACCACTCCCCGAAAAATTCCCGGGGAGACCCCTGATGATAGTTGTGTCAATCATATGTTGTCACGCAAACCTGGTCATACCATTCAGATCTCTTCCATTGCTACCTTTTGTGTCACAATTCAGAGCTCTGGTCCGATGATGACCTCGGCCAGAAGTTTTGTCAGTACAAGAATTTACTTAATTGTATGCTAAACCATAAATGACTCAAGAAGGTATGCATACTTAAGATATCCAGGTGTTCAAGACATTCCTGAGAAGCCCTTGATAACCGTGACCGAAGGCAGTCTTCCATGCTACCCATTCTAAAATATCCCTAACGTCTCTCACTTTAAATTTAGCATCCAAAATGTGCGTCACATACTCCACACAATAAGGCTGATGAATTATGCACCTCGGCACAATGTTTTAAAAAATGCTAGTACCTTTATCTTGTTTTAATACTGGACACGAGTTTGTGGTACGTTCAAGATCCGGTTGAAGCTAGAATATATTTCGATTTTGCCTGCCTGGAGATTACATGTACGTTTAGCGTACAGACAGGATCTGTGTTGGATGTCCCTCGACAGTCGATGATGACGTCAGTGGTGTCTTAAATGGGACCGCAGCACAAATACAGAGGCACAAGTGCTTCAATTAATGGGGGTTTTTGGTACCTGGACATCATTTACACAGCTAGAGGAATTGCAGCAATAGTCCTCAGCAAATTGAGCAATGGTACTAGAGAAAACGAATCGCGGGTAATCTGAGACGCTTGACCTAGTAACCTCTGACCTGCCTCACAGGATAGCGCCGGTCGCTGGAGTAGTCTATCTGCGCTTCACTGGTTGTCCACTCATTCAAGGCCCATTCAAGCACAGCAACCGACTGACACCACACCGCTCTGTGGCCGGACATCACTGTGGTAACAACATTTTTTTCGTACTTTTCTATTCAATTTTTTTGGTCTCGACATAGATAGATTTGTACACACTGTCGCAATTCCAGAAGCCATGCCCAGTGGCGCTGGCTACATACCGGCCCTTAATTAGCTGATAGCCATGTTGGACGTCATGTTGGTGACAAAGCCTTAGTATACACATTCCGCCATGTTTATCTGGTTTGTACTTCTCTAAATACTACGAGAATCTTTGAGTTTGTATGGGGAGTTTTATCCATATTGCTATCATAGTGTGATTTTATCAGAAATAGACAGCTGCTGAGAGTGCTTTGTTTGGCACCATCTGGTCACGGGAAATCTAGGTCAGTAAAAATCTAATTGTGCGCAGACAAACAAGAAGAATGGCGGACAATCACATAAAATACAGCCACACTGCCCAAGAAGACCACTCAGAAGACCGAGAAAATTTGGTCTATGTGGACAGGTCGTCACCATAGATAGGATTTTTAAAATTTGTGTCAATGGAAAAAAATTTATCAAAGGGCCACGAATTCGAAAAAGTGGTTTGGAGGCCTTAATGTAGAGATGGTCACTTGTACAGGTTTGACTGACAGCAATTTTGTTGCGCACAGCAGATTAACAAGAAGAATGGCGGACAATGACGTAGTAGATGTTCAACTCAGTGACACCCTTTGCCACGGTGCGCAGAAACACGGCATGACCAGAGAAGAAGTCTTCAGGTATTATGACAACTGGGCCGACAGGTATGACAAGGTGCGGGACTTCTTGTTTGTTGTCATCTTTGTCTTACAATAATTTGGAGCGGGTTTACCTTTTGTCACGGGAATAATCTAACTTAATCCTTTTTTCGCTCAGTCAGCTTTAGACTTTCTACATCACATTAATACAGTTTGTTTTCCCCGAGGAAAAAAACACAACGAGGTACACCAGGTGTTCAGGTCCGGGCATGTTCTTGAATGATTTCACAGGTAGCTGTTACTGTAGGTACAAAGCCCTAATGTAACCTCATCCTAGAAACTGTTCCCCGTGTTAGGACCTGCATGATCTGAACTACAACGGTCCCCGGCAGTGTGCAGAGGCTCTAGCTGAGGTCCTGTCAGGTAACAAGGCCGCACGGATCCTGGATGTAGCGGCCGGGACCGGCCTGTGTGCGACGGAGGTAAGGCATGAAGACGCCAATGACCTAGTCGTCTTCACATCGTAAAGTTTGGTTTGTTTTCTTGAAGTTTGGGACACGCTTGTTACACGAGACGCGATTTATAAATTCATTTGTGCTACTAAAGTTTGTTCTACAAGACTTCCTTCTAGCGTCATTTTAGTCACGCTGGATTGTCTAAGCTAAATCCTAGCATATTTTTGAAGGTCAGCACCCCGGCCCTCCCCTTGTACTAGTTGTAGTGTGTTACTATGCCTCGCGTTGTAGACAGGGTGTGCATATACAGGCCAACATATTTCCATGTGGTTTGAATATTCCGTGCAGTGAATAGCTGCAGTTTGCACAAGATCTGCATCTTGCTAAATCTGTGTCTTTTTTCGTCTCTTAAAGCTGCTGAAGTTGGGTTATACCAACCTGGATGCGATTGACGGGAGTCAGGGTATGTTAGACATCGCCAAGTCCAGGAACCTGTACCACAGGTACATCTGTGACTTCCTGGGGCCACGCCGACTCGACATAGAAGACGGTAAGGCCTTGGAAAGAGATGTAGTTAACGTTTTTCTGATTTTCCAACCAACCCCATCAAGAGCCCGCCAAACTCAGGCAATTCCATAAAATTCTTGATCTTATATGTGTATTTCAAAACCTCTTTAAATTTCCCTAATTTGCAGAAGAAAATTCTTATTGATAAAATCGAGTGGATTATTTGTCCCTTGCTCACAACAAAGTCACAAGCAAACGCTAGGACATCACCCGAAGGTCACTTATCTAGAGAACTACAACATTGAGAGCACAAAACCGTCTCCATTTCAGATCACTATGACGCCATCGCCTGCTGCGGTTCGTTCAGTCAAGGTCACCTGAAGGACGACTGCTTCCCGGAACTCATCCGCATCGTTAAACCGGGTAAGGCAAAACTTTCTTCTGTGGTGGAGACGAAATTCGACACTGCTTTGCTACTGTTGAAACAGTGGTTTTGTGTAGAGCAAGGTAATGATGATCATCAATGTGTTTCAGGCGGTTTGATCTGCATCGCAATGCGGGAAGAGTTCCTGCACACTGTAGAGGCGTACAGGGGCAAACTGGAGCCCGCCATGGTGGCCTTGGAAAACAAGGGATGCTGGGAAAGAATAGCACGTGACATCGTTCCCAAGTTCTACCGCGAAAAAGATGGCGTCGTTTTTATCTATAGGGTGCTTGCTCAATAGTAAAGAATGCGGTTGATTTTAATGTGCATTCCAATGCAAGAAACGGGGTGTTATTTAGGGATGCTGGGAATCCTGTTTAGAATAAAAGTTTTTGCGTAACCCTATTCTTAGATCGGCAGCCTCCATGTATGCTAGTGTGTGCGATCATATGAACATTACATTTGTAACAAACCCTTTGTAATTGTACAAACTAATGCCATGTGATCTGCTGGCCAGTTATTGTCATGATAGCTGTTTCCAGTCTTGACGCTGGCAATGAATAAAAATATTTAACGGTGATGCTTGTGGTTTACTTGAACCTGAACGGGTCAGTAGTGGGTACTGGGTAGGCATAACCTGAACCTTGTAGAAGTTCACTTACACTATAAACAGCCTTAATACAATCCAATCTGGATATACTGTACACAATCGTCAATACCTTTCAGTGTCAGACACAGATATGGCATAGAATTAAGTAAGCCGCCAAATTCATATATTGAAAATAAAGGATCTCAAATGGTGATGTTATCCTTTTACAAATGTAACGTTAGTCGCTAGAATTTGTCGTCTGCCTTGAATAAACAAGTGGGAAGCGCGATGTCTGTATTTTTGGCAATCTTGTTTTGTGCCAGGGCAAGTCTGAGAACAGACGCTCAGCCCTTTACACCCTGGATTGTAAAATGTTACAATATTGAAGATAGCTAATCATATAAATTGTACCATGTATTTTAGGACCCATAATGCAGCTATACTTGGCACCCTACACACTATTCTTTCTGACCGGTACTAGCGAGAAATGTGGAACAAAGGTTAAAGCTTCCTTACGTATACCGTGGCTGTTATTGGGTAGGAAAGGGTCTCAAAGGGTTTCATAAAAGCATTAAGCGTGACGGAATTCTTCGTCGGGTTCACCATATTTTGGAAGAGGGATGATAGTTTGATTCAATAGGACAATCAAAGAAGTTATTTTGCTCAAGCGGCACCCTACAAGCATATTAAATGTTACCATGAAATCTTTGTCTTTATCGCTGAAACATGCGAGTTCTCTAACAATTATCATGGATTAATTCAAAGTTAGTTGAGTTTGCGCCCTGTAGTATGTTGATCAGAAGATTTACATTAGGCTCACGCCACCCCCAGTGTACAATAACCTTTGGCCACATATACGGTGTTGACTTAGCTAATACTCAAACTCTCTTACGACCTTGGCGGTTACGTGATGTTACATAATCACCACCATTTACTACTTGGAAGGGTCTACATGCCTTTTCCGTGAGGCGTAGCAAGCTATTCTTATTCACCGTTATTCGTAGTCTACTCTAATTCAATATCAATCGTTTAGGTAAATCATTCGGTTTGGGTGGTAAAAGCCATCACCTTTTGTCATACACAGATTTCCAGTGATCACGTGAAGAAAAATGGCGAACAACGAAGCCACCGATGCCTTTTGCGTCGCAACTGGCACCTGGAAACCTGGCATAACCAGCGCCGAAGTCCTTCGGCACTACGATAACATGGCAGAGAAGTACGACAAGGTACAAGTCTTCTGATGACCTTTCTTCCAATAGATTAGACATAGATAATGTGTTGCAGATAAAACATGGAGCCACAGTAACATCTTATTGAATTAGCTATCTTTTGCACAATTCTAGTGCCTTCAAAATCACCTGTTTAGTCATTTTTTCTGTGTTAAAGAAACTAAATCAAAGTTTTAATCTTAGTATCAACCCGCCGACACAATTTAGGGCCACCGTAGATTAGTCTTTCGTAAGTGCTTTACATAAACTGATAATTTCCTTTTCTTCCGAACGTACTTGTAGTACGTGCATGACATGAGCTACAACGGTCCCCGGCAGTGTGCAGAGGCTCTAGCTGAGGTCATGTCAGGTAACAAGGCCGCACGGATCCTGGATGTAGCGGCCGGGACCGGCCTGTGTGCGACGGAGGTAAGGCACGAAGACGCCAGTGACCTATGATTATAGTCGTCTTCACATCGTAAAGTTTGGTTTGTTTTCTTGAAGTTTGGGACACGCTTGTTACACGAGACGCGATTTGAACAACTATAAACTTTTTCTCTCATATTTCAGTTCAGTTTATTGAGATACCCTTTAGCCCATTATGGGCTATTCTTCCAGGGTTCCAATACAAATACATGTAACATCACAATTACAGACACAATCCTACTTATTTACACTTAACATACAGCATTCATATGAAGTTTGTTCCACAAGGCTAGGCAAGCATCTTTTTAGTCGCTGGATTCCCGACCGTAGGTACTAGGTTGTCTAAATCCTTACATATCTTTTAAGGTCATCACCCCTCCCCTTGAAGTGCGTTACTGTGCATTGCATACGCCGAAAGGCGGTTATACCGGCTATACAGATACAGATACAGATACGTTGTAGACAGGGTGTGCAATACGGGCCAACCCATTTGAGTATTCCGGGCAGTGAATAGCTGCAGTTTGCTAATTTGGAATTCCACAACAAGATCTCCATCTTTCTAGGTCTTTGTCTTTTCTAAAGCTGCTGAAGTTGGGTTATACCAACCTGGATGCGATTGACGGGAGTCAGGGTATGTTAGACATTGCCAAGTCCAGGAACCTGTACCACAGGTACATCTGTGACTTCCTGGGGCCACGCCGACTCGACATAGAAGACGGTAAGTGTGAAGGCTAAAAGTGTTCACAATGTTTGAATCACCGTTTCAACAATCAAAGTTGTTCAAATGATGTTACATTATTAAAGTTACAGATATTCTAACCAATGCTCACTGAAATACTGTCAGAACTGAAGTCTCTACGCCTCACAGATTGCTTATAAATCACTTATTGCCTTCGTTGTTTTCAGTGTGTTTGTTGGTTTGAGAATCCAGCGACATTAACATCCTAACCATACTTATACATATCTATTTCAGATCACTATGATGCCATCGCCTGCTGCGGTTCGTTCAGTCAAGGTCACTTGAAGGACGACTGCTTCCCGGAACTCATCCGCATCGTTAAACCTGGTAAGGCATGACGCTTATAATAATTGCAATTGTTAAGTGCTTTAATGAATGAATTAATGACGCCTATGGCTATTAAATGTTGACCACACTGGTATCCATTGACGCGAGGGTAAATCATTGAACTGAAATTTGGTGAACATTGATAGCAGTTTACCGTGGCAGACAAATACACGTCTGTGTTGCCTACGCGAACACCTGCGTCGTCTGCGCAATTCAAAGACCAGCGTCGTCCGCACAGAAAAAAGAAAGCTGCGTCGTCTGCGCAAAAGAGCATTCTTCTGCGCAGACGACGCAGCTTTTTTCTGTGCAAACGACGCAGGTCTTTGAATTGCGCAGACGACGCAGGTGTTCGCGCAGTTGACGCAGGCGTGTACTTATCGGCCACGGTAGCAGTTTTATAGTGTATACGTATAATCTCTGTTACATGGAAGTTGCCTGGTGCCAGTTTAGCTCAGTTGAACTCGGTGGACAGTTGACCTACTATTCCAGAGTAGCTTATCGTCCTGCTCTAAAGACTATAAGGACTCCATTTCCAGTAGCGTGCATGTCGGTTGAGCGACACAGCCCTGTTTTTGTTTGTGTTTCAGGCGGTTTGATCTGCATCGCAATGCGGGAAGAGTTCCTGCACACTGTAGAGGCGTACAGGGGCAAACTGGAGCCCGCCATGGTGGCCTTGGAAAACAAGGGATGCTGGGAAAGAATGGCACGTGACATCGTTCCCAAGTACTACAACGACAAAGATGGCGTCGTGTTTATCTATAGGGTGCTTGCTCAATAGTAAAGAATGAACCCGATTTTAATGTGCATTCCAACGTAGAAAAACTGAGCGATATTTAGGGAAGGGAACCATGTAGAAGTTTTTGAGCGACCCTTTTCTCAGTCCAGCATCTTTCATGTATGCTCTGGTGTGTGATCTTATGAACATTGCATTTGTAACAAAACCTTTGTCTTTATGTATTCAATCCCATGTAATTTTTTATACAGTTATTGCCATATTAGCATTTGATTCAGGTATGTGTACTAGTATCCATGGTAAGGCAGCGTCAACTTCGATTCCTGGGACATGCACTTAGAATGCCTGTGGGGGAACCATGCCGGACATATGCCCTGTATGTACCGACGCACGGCAAAAGGCGCCCAGGGCGCCAGCGACTCGACTACCTGGGCTACATCCGGAATCTGTTGGGGGACGCCGAGGGTGACCTACGGCGGCCAGAGGACATTGCCAACCTGGCGGCGGGTCGTGGGGAAGACTTGTGGTCGACTGCTCCGCAGCCGGACGATGATGATGATGATGATGTACTAGTATCTCGTCTTGACGCTGGCAATGAATAAAAACCGTTGGTGATGTCTTTTCTAGTCTGTGCTGTGGTTTAATGACCAATGGCATGCTACGCGGTCGCATCATAACCTGATGAACATATTAAGTAACTTACACCATAAACAGTCTCATTATTCGCGGCAGCCTGGATCTGATACAACGGTGTGTGGCGCTTCGTGGTATACATAATGTGTTGTGAAGCTCTGAAGAAGGTGTCTGACAGACACCGAAACGTCAGCGAGGTGAGACTCTTTGGTTGTGTAAAAAGAATTCCCATATCTCTTAAGTTTTACCAACCTGATGAAATTATTTTCGGATGTGTTGTGTATTGTTCGCCTTCAGGTTTCAGATGCAAACAATCATACTAAAACGGAATAACAAGTACTATAATCAACAATAAAAATGGTAATTCTTACTGAATGAGTAACCTGCAGGCGCATTCAACTACCAATTTTTTTCACGTGTATCTACGGATACCAATCAAGAGTAATTCACTTCAACAATTCGACAGCAATTAGGCGCGATCAAACACGCTGTCCCAAACATTCCATCTTCCGCTGCTGAGATACACACAGGAAAATACAACCGTAAACAGGAAAGGCCTTCACATCCAACAGAGAGAGAGGCCCTCTCTCTCTGTTGGATGTGAAGGCCTCAGGCATAGTAACCACCTACACCAATTTCAGACACAAACCTTTGCCACGTGTATCTGCGTGTTTCCAACTAAGGGTAATTCACTTCCCGCCGCTTGCAATACTTAATACACGCTACATCGGAGAGGGCCCGCCGCTTTTGTTTGATCACACGCGCGCTTCAAAACATTCCCTCTATCGCTACTGGGATACGCTCATAAGAAAATATAATCATAACGAAGAACGGTCTTAGAGTCACACATCTAGGCCGCTCGTTCCTCCTCATCGCAGTTCTCTGACAGAGCGAGAAGCAAGAAGACTTCTGCAGACCGAACATGGCTAACCTCGGTAACGTCTCAGTCGCAGGACGAAACAGTACCAGGGCCTTCTTCACGACACCTGACGGCATGGACAACCGGACAGTAAGGCCTTCAGATTACAAACTCAGTATCCACGACCATATGGACGACCTCCTCTCCTCCAGTCTGACGGCTAAGCTCCTCCAGGTTTCGTGGCTGGCGTCGTCCTTGGTGCTGATTCTAGGCCTCAACGTGATCTTCATCATCGCTGTCGCGCGCTCCCCGAGTTTGCGGAAGCCGAGGTTTCTCCTGCCTGTCAACCTCGCCGTTCTAGACATCCTCCTGGCACTGGTCGTCATCCCGAGCTCTATAAACAACATAGTAGTGAGAGCGCTACGGACTCTGTGTTTTTTTGCCTAACCCAGTGCAGTGTGTACTTCGGCGCGGCTGTATGTACAGCGTCTAACCTACTCGTCATGGCGTGGGATCGCTACCGAGCCATCTGTTGCCCCTACCATTACCAGGAGGAGGACGGTATCCGCTAGACCGGGGTTAGAGTCCTCGCTATGTGGGTTTGGATCCGGAGCATCAGTCTAAGCGCAGGTTCCGCCATTTTTACTCCCATCGCCGGAATAGACGTTTCTCATATTCAACGGAGTAACCTGTTCTGTACATTCGTTGACATAGGCGTCGATGGACGGTCTCGCGTTGTTGAAGCTTTACAGAGTGTCGGCATAGCGACGTTTGTGTTATCGGCTGTATTTATTGTTTTATCGTACTTTAAAATTTACAGAGAGATCCTGAGACAGAACACTGTGTTTATTATTTGAAGGATCTCCATCTGTGGAAGACGGGGGTGCAGCAGTTTCATTCTATGAGATGATTGGATGTGAATAAGATGTTTACGATAGCACGCAAATAAATGTCAATCAACCCTATGCTGAAGCAATATTTGCTCCGTCTGAGGGAAAACACATTGGCATACTTTTGTTTCAAAGTTGTTACATCATCAAAATTGCCTTTGTTTAATAAAAGATCATAGCAGTGCTTTTGTCTTGTCATCGAATTTCGTTTTTCCTAAGTGTATAAATCTATTCGTCTATGCATGAAGAGGGTGAAAGCATTGACAGTTCACGGCTCTCAAGTGACAAATCATATAAAACTCGCCGTACGACGATGGGTCTTCTTTAAAGCAACCTTTGAGCTGTGAAGCGCAGACAGTGGAATTTCGTTATCCACACGTGGGAATGCATGTGGCTGGGTGTTTGCTCAACTCGTACATAAAACTCCCTCGTCAGCCAGACGACGGCGTCATCGTGAGACACTCTCGCGACGTACGACCCGGAGCTCGCTGAGTACTGCTGACAATTCTACCTTCGGAGGGACAACAGACAGGTAAATATCCTGTATCCATGTGCCATTTGTTTAAAAACAACGCGCTACTTCGATCTAATTAATTTATGAAGGACTTGTTACCTCTGTTCTGGTAATTTGTAATTTAAACTACCATAAATTGTGCGACGTTCCATAAGATGATGTGATTGTATTTTAACTACATGTAGTAAACTACTGTTCACCTAGCTATTGCCATTTTCTGAAGAAGAAAATGAAGCCGTTTCTATACTTACTTTCTTACTTACTTCGCGCTGGTTCATTCGTGTTTGGCCTTTAGGCCCTATTTTCACAACAGCCTTATGTCGCCGAGCACCCCTGTTGTCATCGAGATCATTGCAAGGAACTGAATATTTATGAAAGATGGTTACAAAAACCGTTGAGAGATCTGTCGAATTTCTGGACTCTCAATTGTCTCTCAGCGATCCCTCTTTTGTGGTATCCTCTCACTACTCTCTATCATTGTTCAGTGGAGATTTCGGCAAACATTCGACCCAAACCATTATAACCTTTCGTAGAAGGTAACGAACGATTTGATAGAATATTTATGTTGAGTCAAAGACGCAACCTGCTTATTTACAAAGACGCGTCATCCGTCAACGTCTACATTAAAACATGAAAATATTTTCTGTCTTAAAAGTACATGAAACCATTTAAGCTGCTTCAGAGTTCAGCTAGGTTGGATGTTGTTGGGATCTAGATTACCGCCCTCTTTGGTCGTACAAGAGGGCGGTAATCTGAGCGACCGCACAGCAACAGAAACTGATTTTGTACAAGTGACCCTTAATTTCATAACTGGAATGTAATGCGAGATTCAAAAGTAGGATTTACAAGACAACAAAGCACAAATAGAAACTTATTCTTTATCTATGAAGTTCGTTGAGTGGTCTGCCAAATCTTTGCTTGCTAGATACCGGGAAGTGACAATTTGCTTACGAGAGGGATTCAGATCAAGCCATTTCACTCAAGCAGCACACTAGCATGTCCAATATTACCAGAAAATCCTTGTTTAGATCTGCACGATCTTCAAAGTTGAAACATGTGAGTTCTCAAACAATTAATTCAAAGTTTGTCAAGTACCTGAAAGCTTAGCGCGCACAGTTTGCGCCCAGTAGTATGTTGATCAGAAAATTTACATTAGACTCACGCCACCCTTAGTGGACAATAACCTTTGGCCACATATGTGGTGTTGACTTAGCTAGCACTCAAACTCTTCTTTCATCCTGGCGGTTACATCATGATGTTACATCTTCACCGTCTACCACCATTTACTACTTGGAGGGGTCTATATGCCCTTTTCCGTGAAGCGCTGCAAGCTATTCCTATTCATCGTTAATCATAGTCTACTCTAAGTCAATATCAATCGTTTAGATAAATCATTCGTGAAATGTAATTCGTCGCTTTAATTCTGAGTTGTACGTTAGTTATATTATCCCCAATTCACCGTCAAGCGTTAGTCACAAAATCTTGGGATTGGGCAGTATTTAATTATTGGTAATTTGTAATTTGTAGAAGGTCTGGCATAACATGTAGCTATCGCCCTCTCCAAATGTTAACCGAGAGACCAGGCTGCAAGGCTTGATCCGTCAGCCAGGATGGAGCCTACTCTTATAGATGGTTGGTTCTTTCACATGATTGGGGTGTGACTCTCCTCAAACTTGGGACGTCCCTATTCGAGAGCACGTCCCCAACCAAAGAAGGCTTGGTATTGCCTATTGATTTTCACCTGAGTCAAGCAATATGTGTAATGTGCCTTTCACAAGGGCACAACACTGGAGCACAACACAGCCTTGGTAAAAACCATGACCCTTTGTCGTACACAGATTTTCGGTAAAGAAAAATGGCGGACATCGAAGCCACCGATGCTTTTTGCCACGCATCGCAGAAACCTGGCATGACCAGCGCCGAGGTCCTTCGGTACTACGATAACTGGGCAGAGAAGTACGACAAGGTACAGCTGTCTTCTTAATGAATTGGCTACCTTTTGCACAATTCTGTTGTTTTCAAAGTTACTTGTTAAGTCCTTTTTCTGTGTTTAGTAAGCTAAATCAAATTCGGGCCACCAAACAATTTCGGGCCACCATAGGTTATTAGTCTTGCCTAGGTACTTTACATAAACTGATAATTTCCTTTTCTTTCGAACGTACGTGTAGCACCAGATAGTTTTGAGCTACAACGGTGCCCGGCTGTGTGCAGAGGCTCTAGCTGAGGTCCTGTCAGGTAACAAGGCCGCACGGATCCTGGATGTAGCGGCCGGGACCGGCCTGTGTGCGGCGGAGGTAAGGCACGAAGAGACCAGTGACCTATGATTATAGTCGTCTTCACGTCGTAAAGTTTTGTTCTCTTGAAGTTTGGGATTCTCTTGTTACACGGGAGGCGTTTTGAACAACTATAAACGTATTCTCTCATATAAAGTTTGTTCCACAAGGCTAGGCAAGCTTCGAGCATCTTTTTAGTCGCTGGATTCCCGACCGCAGGTACTAGGTTGTCTAGATCCTTGCATATTTTTTGAAGGTCAGCACCCCTCCCCTTGAAGTATTACTGTGCATCACATACGTTGTTGGAAGGCTGTGCAATACTGCCCAATCCATTTGAGTATTCCGTGCAGTGAATAGCTCCAGTTTGCTCATTTGGAATTCCACAACAAGATCTGCATCTTGCTAAATCTGTGTTTTTTATCGCCTCTTAAAGCTGCTGAAGTTCGGTTATACCAACCTGGATGCGATTGACGGGAGTCAGGGTATGTTAGACATCGCCAAGTCCAGGAACCTGTACCACAGGTACATCTGTGACTTCCTGGGGCCACGTCGACTCGACATAGAAGACGGTAAGTGTGACGGCTAAAAGTGTTCACAATGTCTGAATTGCACCTTTCAACAATCGCAGTTGCTTAAATGTTACATTAAGTTACAGATATTCTAACCAATGCTCACTAAAATACTGTCAGAAATGAAATCTCTTTACGCCTCACGGACATTGCTTACAAATCACTTATTACCTTCGTTATTTTCAGTGTGTTTGTAGCCTCCTGTGCAGGCCCTGCGGCGGTGGGGAAGAGTTTTTAACGCGGCGGAATCTTCTCTCGGCGGCTATGTAGGATGGCCGGCTATATTAAAATAACGCGTTAAAAACTCTTCCCCACCGCCGCGGGGCCTGCACAGGAGGTTAGGGTGTTTGGTGGTTTGAGAAGTAAGCGACATTGCATCCTAACCATATTTAAACGTATCTATTTCAGATCACTATGACGCCATCGCCTGCTGTGGCGCGTTCAGTCAAGGTCACCTGAAGGACGACTGCTTCCCGGAACTCATCCGCATCGTTAAACCGGGTAAGGCATGGCGGTTGTAAGAATTGCAATTGTTAAGTGCTGTAATGAATGAATTAATTAATGACGCCTATGGCTATCAAATGTTGACGCGAGGGTAAATCATTGACCTGAAATTTGGTGAACATTGATAGCACTTTACCGTGCCGATAAATACACGTCTGCGTCGTCTGCGCAAAGACCTGCGTCGTCCACACAGAAAAAAAGCTGCGTCGTCTGCGGAGAAGAATATTCTGCGCAGACGACGCAGCTTTTTTCTGTGCAAACGACGCAGGTCTTTGCGCAGACGACGCAGGTGTTCGCCCAGGTGACGTAGGCGTGTACTTATCGGCCACGGTAGCAGTTTCATAGTGTATACGTATAATTTCTGTCACATGGAAGTTGCCTGGTGCCAGTTTAGCTCAATTGAACTCGGTGGACAGTTGAGCTACTATTCCACAGTAGCTTATAGTCCTGCTTTAAAGACTATAAGGACTCCCATTCCAGTAGCGTGTATGTGGGTTGAGCTGTTTGTGTTTCAGGCGGTTTGATCTGCATCGCCATGCGGGAAGAGTTCCTGCACACTGTAGAGGCGTACAGGGGCAAACTGGAGCCCGCCATGGTGGCCTTGGAGCGCAAGGGATGCTGGGAAAGAATGGCACGTAACATCGTTCCCAAGTACTTCCGCGAAAAAGACGGCGTTGTTTTTATGTATAGGGTGCTTGCTCAATAGTAAAGAATGAACCCGATTTTAATGTGCATTCCAACGTAGAAAAACTGAGCGATATTTAGGGAAGGGAACCATGTAGAAGTTTTTGCGCGACCCTTTTCTCAGACCAGCATCTTCCATGTAATGTATATGCTGGTGTGTGATCTTATGAACAATGCATTTGAAACAAAACCTTTGTACCTATGTAATTTGCTATACAGTTATTGACATAATAGCATTTAATTCAGGTATGTGTATCCCTTCTTGACGCTGGCAATGAATAAAAATCGTTGGTGATGTCTTTTCTAGTCTGTGCTGTGGTTTACTTGACTAATGGCATGCTACGGTCGCAGGTCAGCACTAAGTAGGCATAACCTGACGAACTTATTTGATAAAAGTAACTTACACCATTTTTCGCAGCAGCTTGGATCTGGTACAGCGGTGTGTGGCGCTTCATGGTATACGTAATGATTTGATTTGATTTGATTTGATTTATTGAAATTGCAACAGTGCAATACACATGAGACACATGCAGCCGTTGCTGGTGTTGTGTCACACACATAGAAACAAATACAGGACAGACAATACTCATTTTCACTCAGGCATGTCAGGACTCGAACCCAGGACAGCCACCCACACCAATTTCAGACACAAACCTTTTCCACATGTATCTGCGTATTTCCAGTTGAGGGTAATTCACTTTAATTGTATTCCACACCGATTAGGCTTGTTTGATCACACGCGCGCTTCAAAACATTCCCTTCACTGCTGCTGATACGCACATAGGAAAAACAATCATAACGGTCTTAGAGACATACAGGCCGCCCGTTCCTCCTCACCGCAGGTTTCTGTGAAAGAGCGAGAAGCCTGACTTCTGCAGACCGACATGGCTAACCTCGCTAACGTCTCAGTAGTAGGACGAAACAGTACCACAGCCTTCTTCACGACACCTCACGGTATGGACAACCGGGCTATGAAGTCTTCAGATCAAAGCCACACAAACAACGACCATATGGACGACCTCCTCTCCTCCAGTCTGACGGCTAAGCTCCTCCAGGTTTCGTGGTTGGCGCCGTCCTTGGTGCTGATTCTGGGCCTCAGCGTGATCTTCATTATCGCCGTCGCGCGCTCCCCGAGTTGGCGGAAGCCGAGGTTTCTCCTGCCTGTCAACCTCGCCGTTCTAGACATCCTCCTGGCCCTAGTCGTCATCCCGAGCTCTATAAACAACATATTAATTGAGAGCGCTAAGGCCTAACCCAGGGCAGTGTGTACGCCGGTGCGGCTGTGTGTACAGCGTCTACTCTATTCGTGATGGCGTGGGATCGGTACCTAGCCATCTGTTGCCCTTACCATTACCAGGAGGACGGTATCCGCTGGACAACTAATTCTTAATTTTGTGATCGCTTTTCGGATATCTAGATTGTGTATACTTGAGAGGTATTGTTTTTGTCCATAGTTTTCCTTTAATGCGGTATAAACAGAAAGTTTTGCGTTGTTACTAATAGATCTAGAATTACACCATTTTTGTATATATATATATATCTTGAAGGCGGGATCGTAATTTATTGGTTATCGTATCCACTTATAATTGAAAAGAGGGTTCCATCCAGTAATGGTGAAGATGGCGACAGCTTTGATCGCCTACCTGGATATGTCTCATCGCCAGATCCATGACGTCGCTGTTACGTACATGTACGCTGTGTTGTTTTAAGATTATCGGCGATTACATGCTAATCATCATGACAGTTTTTAAAGGAATCTGTACTTCGCACGTCAACGAACAGCATCTCTATATCTTTTAACTACAAACTATTGAACTGACATGTTTAAAAATCCAATATTCGCCTAGGAAAATACAATCACATCTGGATATAACGTTAGTGTACACAATCGTCAACAACTTACAGTTTGAGACCTCTCCATAGAGATATGGTATAGAATTTAAGTAAAGAAAGCCATTGTACTAGCCATATTCATATATTGAGGATCGTAAATGATGATGTTGTCCAGGAGTGAAGGAATCCTACAATTAGTTACAAGACTTAGTGTAACGTTGAACGCTAGAATGTGTTGTCTGCCTTGAATAAACAAGCGGGGAGCGCGATGTCTGTATTTTGGCAGTCTTGTTTTGTGCCACCCTTTTGTAGGGGCAAGCCTGAGAACAGACCCCTAGCTCTTTACACTTTGGACTGCAAAATATTACAATATCGAAGATTGGTAATGATATATATTTCATTTTAGGACCTATAGTGCAGCTACACTCTCCAACCTACACACTGTTTTTTTCTGACCGGTCCGGGAAATGTGGGACAAAGGTTAATGCTTTCTTACCGTGGCTGTTATTGGGTAGGAAAGGGTCTCAAAAGGTTTCATGATAGCATTTTGCGTGACGGAATTCTTCGTCGGGATTACCACATTTTGGAATAGGGATGATAGTTTGATTCAATAGGACAATCAAAAAACTTGAGAGGGGCTTGGGTGCTTACGGAACAGTACGAAAATGCACAAAACGAGTAAAATGTTTTTATGGCATTTTTAAAGCCTCCTCACGACCCTCGCGGACGATGGAAATTTCCATCACACTTTCGCCTGGCCACCAAACATTTCCACCCGACCGACGTTTCATTCTGTGAGATGATTGGATGTGAATGAGATGTTTGCGATAGCACGCAAAAACATGTCAATCAACCCTACGCTGAAGCAATATTTGCTCCGTCTGAGGGAAAGCACATTGAATTGGCATACTTTTGTTTCAAAGTTGTTACATCATCAAAATTGCCTTCATTGCATTTCGTTCTTCCTAAGTGTATAAATCTATTCTTCTATAAAGAGGATCCTAGGAGGAAAGTGCTGACAGTTCACGACTCTCAAGTGACAAGTCATATAAAACTCGTTCGACGGTGGGTCTTCTTTAAAGCAACCCTTGAGCCGGGAAGTGCAGACAGGATTCACACATGGGAATGCACGTGGCTAGCTGTTTGCTCAACCCGTACAAAAACTCCCTTGTCAGCAAGACTACGACTTCATCGTGAGACACTCTCGCTACGACCCGGAGCTCGCTGAGTACTGCTGACAATACTACCTTCGGTGGGACAACAGGCAGGTAAATATCCTGTATCAATGTGCCATTTGTTAAGAAAAAAATTGAGCTACTGCGATCTAAATAGTTAATGAAGGACTTGTTACCTCTGTTCTGGAAATTTGTAATTTAACTACCATAAGTTGTGCGACGTTCCATAAGATGATGTGATTAGCGCATGGAAATATGTTCTGTCTTTGAAGTACTTAAAACCTTTTGAGCTGCTTCAGAGTTCAGCTTGGATGTGGTACCGGTTTGGATTAGAGTTATTCCGCGGTTTAAGCTTTCGCATAGCTTTGGTCGTAATACCCCATTTTCACTAGACTTCGGCAATCGCTGAGCGACCGTCCTGCGACGGAAACTGATTTTGTGCATGCGATTCTTACTTCCATAAGACAACAAAAGACAACAAAAACACAAACAAAAATTATTCTTCATGAAATTCATTGGGTGGTCTGTCAAATATTTGGTTGGTAGAAAGGGGAAGTGACAATTTGACTACGAAAGGGATTTAGATCAACATATTTCGCTCAAACGGCACGCAACAAGCATGTAACGTTACAACGTTACCACAAAATCCTCGTCTGCACGGTCTTGTCTCGCTGAGACATGCGAATTTTCTAACGTAATTATCATGTATTAATTCAAAGTTAGTTGAGTACGTGAAAGCTTACAGTTTGTGCCCTGTAGTATGTTGATCAATAGATTTACATTAGGCTCACGCCACCCCCAGTGTACAATAACCTTTGGCCACATATACGTTCAGAAGATGTTGACTCAGCTAATACTTAAAACTCTCTTATTAACCTGGCGGTTACATCATGGTGTTACATCATCACCGTCTACCACCATTTACTCCTTGAATTGGAAGGGTCTACATGCCTTTTTCACAAGGGCACAACACTGGAGCACAACACAGTCTTAGTAAAAACCATCACGCTTTGTCGTACACAGATTTTCGGTAAAGAAAAATGGCGGACATCGAAGCCACCGATGCTTTTTGCCACGCATCGCAGAAACCTGGCATGACCAGCGCCGAGGTCCTTCGGTACTACGATAACTGGGCAGAGAAGTACGACAAGGTACAGGTGTCTTCTGATAACCTTTCTTCCAACAGATTAGACATAGATAACGTGTTGCAGAGAAAACATGAAGCCGCAATAATACATCTTAATGAATTAGCTACCTTTTACACAATTCTGTTGTCTTCAAAGTGACTTGTTTAGTCCTTTTTTTCTGTGTTAAGGAAGCTAAATCAAATTCGGGCCACCAAACAATTTCGGGGTACCGTAGATCATTAGTCTTGCCAAGGTGCTTTACATAAACTGATAATTTCCTTCTCTACCTAACGTACTTGTAGGACCTGCAAGATCTGAGCTACAACGGTCCCCGGCAATGTGCAGAGGCTCTAGCTGAGGTCCTGTCAGGTAACAAGGCCGCACGGATCCTGGATGTAGCAGCCGGGACCGGCCTGTGTGCGACGGAGGTAAGGCACGAAGAGACCTAGTCGTCTTCACATTGTAAAGTTTGGTTTGTTTTCTTGAAGTTTGGGACACGCTTGTTACACGAGACGCGATTTATAAATTCATTCGTGCTACTAAAGTTTGTTCTACAAGACTTCCTTCTAGCGTCATTTTAGTCACGCTGGATTGTCTAAATCCTTGCATATTTTGAAGGTCAGCACCCCGGCCCTCCCCTTGTAGTGTGTTACTGTGCCTCGCATACGTTCTAGACAGGGTGTGCATGTTTCCATGTTTGAATATTCCGTGCAGTGAGTAGCTGCAGTTTGTTTAAGATCTGCATCTTGCTAAATCTGTGTCTTTTTTCGTCTCTTAAAGCTGCTGAAGTTGGGTTATACCAACCTGGATGCGATTGACGGGAGTCAGGGTATGTTAGACATCGCCAAGTCCAGGAACCTGTACCACAGGTACATCTGTGACTTCCTGGGGCCACGCCGACTCGACATAGAAGACGGTAAGTGTGACCGCTAAACAGTAATAGTGTTTATTTGGCAATAACAAGTTGGAAGCAACGGCCGCGCCGAACAATGACTGGATTGTACCGTTTTGTCAATAGATGTACACAAGTATGACTTACATTCACCATGGTAGTACCCGACGCTCACTGAAATATGCCGAAAGTTCCACGTCGGAACTTGCAAAGGTCTCAAATTGCTCATATACCACTTGTTGCCTCCGTTGTTTTGAGTGTGTTTGTTAGTATGAGAATCTATCAATATTGAAATCCAAAATATGCTTATACACACCTATTTCAGATCACTATGATGCAGTCGCCTGCTGTGGCGCGTTCAGTCAAGGTCATATGAAGGACGACTGCTTCCCTGAGCTCATCCGCATCGTTAAACCGGGTAAGGCAGCGTTAATGATTGGATTAACGACGCCTATGGCTATCAAATGTTGACCACAATGGTAGCCATTGAGTCTGAACTAGTGCCAAATACTATGTCAATCGACGTGAGGGAAGATCATCGATCTGAAATTTGGTGAAGATTGATACCATTTTATGGTATTAGTATACCTATAATCTCTGTTACATATCAATGGAAGTGGCCTTGCGCCAGTTAATCTCAATTGAACTCGGTGGATAGTTGAGCTACTATTCCAGAGTAGCTTGTAGCTGCCTGTCGGTTGAGCGACACAGCCCTGTTTGTGTTTCAGGCGGTTTGATCTGCATCGCAATGCGGGAAGAGTTCCTGCACACTGTAGAGGCGTACAGGGGCAAACTGGAGCCCGCCATGGTGGCTCTGGAAGACAAGGGGTGCTGGGAACAAGTGGCACGTGACATCGTTCCCAAGTACTACCGAGAAAAAGATGGTGTCATTTTTATGTATAGGGTGCTTGTCTGATCGTAGAAGTTCTATTTCCCCTATGTTAATCTACATGGATCCCGCAAAGCGAGAAGCTTCGACGCTTCAAAAATTATAGTAGGATGCACAAGAAAGGTACTCTACACAAGTCGAGTATGTATGAGTTCAGTGCATGATCTAAAAATATGTGAATAGGAACTAAAAGTCACCCACCCTTTCCCTTTTAACGCCCTGTTTTATGTGGCGCTAAGCGGAGGTCATGATCATGTGAATTTTAGCCAACGAACAACAGTAGGTGGTAACAGTATCCAGGCGAAAATATACGCCAGCCGAATAAAAGTCATAATCCAACTTAATAAAACAGTCTCAAAACTGACTCTACCGTATGTACAGAAACACTTTTTGTCTGAGTGCCATCATTTCCATACAAACGTACTGATGATCTTTCAATAGAAAAATAAAATCAAAGTAACTTGTGTCGGGCTGTCCAACGGCGTCGACCCGCGGCAACTCCCCACAGGTGCGTCATACAGCCTCCGGGCTTTTACCCATTCCTAAACATGTTTGTCACCGTTTGTATGCACCAATCGCTGTCCCTCATAAAAACATGAGGAGATCTTGTCAGCTACCTGTTAACTATGATATACGTATCACGTACGCGTGACTAAACCATCTACACGAGAAGGTTCCACTTACCTCTTGATTAAACAAAGGCAGATTGTTCTTGATTTGTTATGAAATATACAAAAATATTCCAGACGCAAGAGTTCCCAGTGGCGGAAGATTCAAAGTAAGAGAAGCCAAAGTCGTACTCAAAATCATACTCATACTACCTCACATCATTAAGCAATGAAACTCCATGATCAACCGTCATTGGGTTGCTAAAACTTATCAACCTATTTTGTAATCGTATGAAATTACCTTTACGTCCTTTTGACGTAGGAGTTCGTCCACGAAGAAATAAACTTCACCCATGATTGGCCAAAAGAAGAAAGCCGCCATCATAGTCGAATTGCCGGCATGGGACCTCATCTCCGGCAGCAGTAATGCTGATGGGCGAGCAGCAGTAACATCTTGGTTCTAGGACATAATGGTGTCTTCATCTGAAATAGGTTTTGATACGTCATGACATTTATATTTAGAGTGCAAATTGTTTCATTCTTTGGTTATCTGGGCTCCGGGGTGATAACGTTCTAACGTTAATAAAGGTGTAAGTTGACGAATAAGCAAACTACAAACCTTCGTCTTGATTTGGTGTCTGCTGAGACGGCGTCTGTAGAGGCTGCTGGGATGGCGTCTGCAGAGGCTGTAGAGACGACTGAGACGGCTGAGTTGATGTCTGCTGGGACGGCTGAGTTGATGTCTGCTGGGACGACTGGGTGGATGTCTGTTGAGACGGCTGAGTGGATGTCTGCTGAGACGTCCGAGACGGTGTCTGCTCAGACGACTGGGTGGATGTCTGCTGAGACGTCCGAGACGGTGTCTGCTCAGACGACTGGGTGGATGTCTGCAGAGACGACGTCTGAGACGGTGTCTGCTCAGACGACGGGGTTGATGTCTGCTGAGAAGACTGGGCTGAGGACTGAGTGGATGTCTGTATAGAGGACCGAGATGAGGTCTGCTCAGACGACTGGGACGGTGTCTGCAGAGATGACTGAGATGGTGTCTGTAGAGACGACGGAGTGGATGTTTGTAGAGAAAGCTGAGTGGATGTCTGCTGAGACGGTTGAGTGGATGTCTGCTGTGACGGCTGAGTTGATGTCTGCTGAGACGACTGTGATGAGGTCTGTACAGGAGGCTGAGATGAGATCTGCAGCGGAGGCTGAGATGGGGTCTGTAGAGGAGGCTGTGATGAGGTCTGTAGAGGAGGCTGGGGCGCCAGTTCAGGCCCAGGTGAAGTGGGGATGACAGGCACAAAAGTATTCCCATGTTCAGTAGTGAGGCCATCTGCGTCTGTAACATATAATAGATGATGATTACAGACTATTCGCTAAATACTTCGCAACAGATTTTGTCTTACAATGAGAGGATTTGCAGCATTCCAAAGACAAGGTTGTTACGCAAATAGCAATTTACGAATTAAGATCAGATCAACTTCTGACAGACAAATAGGACCATCTAAAGCAATTCTCCGGATCAGCATGAAAATAGCACCAATACTTTTCAGACAGTTCAGAAAAGAAACGTATATGAATTTCCAAAACTTCGGTTGTATTGTAGTGTTGTATTGCTACGCCTTCTTGTGCGAAATAGCGATACTAACATCAGCTTTACATCAATAGAGCTAGAGGATTTTCACATACTCCATGTAGGATTACAGTGACAGTTTATTAAACATGCCAACAGGCTGCTAGTTAATCAGTTTACCCGCCAACACCTGTTCGCAGAGATTCATATGATAATTTTCTGACGTCATGAAAAGCCTCATCGCCTGAAATAGAGGCTGAGGAACAAACCTTGGTCCATCTCAGGGGACGGCTGGATGGGTGTCTGCGGGGACAGTTGACTGGGCGATCCGTTGGTCGAAGCAGGAGAGACGAAAGGCGAGGGCATCACCCAGTAAAATGTAGAGGAAGCAGACGAGGCAGCGTCGTCTGAGGTTTCCCTGTCCACAAAAAGTAACACCGCTTGGTGGAGACGGAACCTGTCCCTGATGTCCCATCCGTGCAGGAGGTGTTCTTCTACTACTCGGATCCCTGTGCCACTCTTCTTTCCCACTACGATGTCTCTGTTGAAGAACACACATTGGGTTATTATGATTGAACCGACTGGGTGGCGTGCGGAAGTAGGATAAGGAGACACCCCCCCCCCAGCTTGGTGTTTTCCTAATTTCACAATAGTTTTATGTATCTTCATTTATTTCACCCACGAATGTAGCGGCGGATGGTCTGGAACACCTATTTAAGCCAGGCAGATCACGACCGTACGTAAACCCGGCTTCGGCCTTCGGATAATATCCGCTGTGCGGTGTGTTGTCTACATACATCCCTCTAACAGCGATCGAAACTAGATCTGTGTGACCCTTGTTTTTATGATTCATGATGTAAAAGGATTTGCTAGATATAGATAGATTACAAAACACCCAAAAAGATAATTGGTTATTTGTCGATGACATTTTCCGCGATCTGTCAAATCTTTAGTGAAAAGAGGGTGTAACCTACTCTACTCGTGCAGCCTGAAGGTCTGGGAAGTCAAAGTTCCTCTTCAGTCTCCTCAGTAGATCCTCATTAGTGTCTACAGAAGGGATGGCAAGAAATATCAATGAGCTGGAGGAAACTAAAGACATAAAACCACGCCAAGCTTCAATGATAATCTGACATAAAGAGAATGGATACATGTGAAATCCCATATTCAGTAGCTTGGAGTCCAATCTTATAGCTTTAGCCTCCTACATTTAGCCCGCTTACAACAGTCTCTTCTCTATTAGTTGGCGGGTTAGCGATTGTTGGAAGCTTAAAGCTAACAAGACCGGACTGAAGGCTAGTATTCCATTCTATAGATTTTCAAAGAGAACAGCATCTACTAGCAGGTGGTCACAACTTGTCGTGCAGTTATCAAATCAATTTGTACAGGATACAGATAGTCTTTCCAACGAACATTGCTAGTTTTAACCTATCTACAGACTCAAGTACCCAATGATAGGGTAATGCTGAGTCTTTGGGTTACACAAAAATAGAAATAACGCTTTACGCATGCATTAAACTGCACGCCAGTGATCTCGAGACATAACCGTAAGTGTAACAACTCGCACGTGGTGGTAACTTTTACCTGCGACGCTAAATTTCAACACTTTGAGCCGGCCTTCCTGTATCATTGCTCTCTCAAATTCCTCAAGAGAGCTCTGCGCGAAGTCATCTGGAAGGAAAATGAATTTCCTCTCAATATAACCAGCCCTGGCCCTAACACATACGCAGTACGCATATGAGCACATCTTGCTTGAAGTAAAAGTTTCGGGTACTCAATGTTTGGTTTCCAGTGTGCGCGAGCTAACGCGGTTGTGTTTGTCACAGCTGTGGAACACCTGTGTAGAACTGAGGCTCTCCGCGAGATGAACTGGTCTGGCGAGTCAGCCACTTGGATCATGATTAGATTAACGTTTCTTAAGTGCAAAACGGACACAAGGAAAAGATTAGATGAACAAAGAAGCCATGTTAGCCGCCCTCGTAGCAAGACATGATGTGAAGTGTTCTTCGTTTGAATTATCCAAGTTTGCGGCAATGATTACCACAATACATCTCCATTTATAACAATTACATGTTCTCTCTGACGTAACGTACGGTGCGTTTCTCGCGACTTCGCTAGAGGTCTCTGCTTACTCTCCAAGCAGAGGTTTGGGTTTTGGGTCATTTTTGGCGTGTTTTTTAGGCTTTTTTTATCGGGGTTTCTCTTTTGCACTGTAATTTTTTTGGGTGAGAAAAAAATTACAGTGCAAAAGAGAAACCCCGATAAAAAAGCCTAAAAACACGCCAAAAATGACCCAAAACCCAAACCTCTGCTTGGAGAGTAGTCTCTGCTGACGGACCTGCCCAGAATCAGACAATAGTCGGGTGTAATTCGGTCGCGAAAGATATTTTCGGTAATATTCTCACAGTTTTATCAGCTAAACATAGTTTTGCGTAGTAAGCGAAGACAATAAAACGCAAACATTAAGAAAATTACTTTATCACGTGCAGTTTTTATATTGAAACTTAAGAAAGAGCGAATCCTTCCATTTATAAGTAAAAGCATCACCAGATATGTGTTTGCCTGTAGAATCCATATTTTGCTCAGATTATAATTATGCTATAAGGTGACGTTATCATTCCGTCATCGCAATATGTCATTAAATATACAACGAAATGACATCATGATAAACAACATGTCCAAACACAGTGAACCATCATGGTAAGAAGTTTACACCATTTGTTAAGAATTCTGGAAAGTTCTTTTATCCTTGTCCACCACCGATCTCGAATTGCACCCGTTAATGGTGAATGTGCGTAAAACAACATGCTGCCAGCGCGTGCTGAGAGTTCCCAAGTTGAGATATTCTTAACAATATCAGATAATATATTTCTGTCAATACACGTCTTACCTAAATAGTATAAGCACATTTCAGTTATACATAAGATTTCCGTATGTGTCTTTACAGAGATATGACAGGAACATTGCGTCTCAGAGAACGTCTTTGTAAGCATTAAAATTCTATATGATTCTTATTCATGTTTAAGAAATAATACATCCATCTCAATATGCATCTCACTAACATCACGTTGATTGTTCGCCAACCAATATCAGTTTTTCTAGAATATATTTTGCCTATAGTATATCCTCAAAGCAGCAGAAAAAGCAACATTATTTTCTTGACAAAGCATAACATAACATTAGCTTTTACTTTTCTTTCTTTCTTTCTTTCTTTTAATTTTCTAATACATTAAATTCTGTGAATTATCTGTCATCCAACTGCATAAAACTGTAGAATCTCTATCTTAAAAAGCTGGTTTACGCTAGATTAATTTCACACTTGCAAGCTGGGCAAATGCAGACGGCATAGGTAAGGTGCTACTTTAGTTAAGTACCCAAAGCTGAGCTGTACTACATCACTGGTAGCTAGTACATCAGTAGTACACCGTTTCTTCTTCCTCATCTCCTGATTCTTCTTCCTCTTCCGGTGTCTCCAGCATCCCGGAAATGTCGTCAGGGGTGATGTCATCCACCTCAAAAGGTGCTTTCTTCCACTTCCGGCAGGTCAGTCTCATTCCGTCCGGTTTCTCCAAGACGAAAGACTCGATCTTCAGGGTGGGGAAGCTGGCCTGTCTGTACACCATCTGTATTCCCCAGTCTTGTCTGCAGTTCCTGTCAAGTAGTAGGAGATGTTAGTGAGCAGTGGTACAGCAGTGGCACAGCAGTTATTACTTCACCCCAATCAACTGGTTTGTGTGTGAATTTGTGTTTGTCTTTTCGTGTGATATGAAACAATGTGAAAAAGAAGAATTCTACTTTGCTTAGACTTTTATAAAAGTAAAACACAATATCCACTGGCTCGTCTTTCCAGAACGAAAGCAATAATTAAACACACACATATTGTTTACAAAAACTGGATACTTTCATCATATATAGTGCTGGAAAAATGTCACACCTTTTAATGTCTTTCTTCTACCAATTACCGGTCACTTCGACTGGTAATGGTTCTTACCTGCAGTACACTTTTCCGTTCATTTCCCAGTCGTCAATCTTCTTGGGTGGGTGGGGTTTGATGATGATCCGTTTGGGGAAAGTCTTGTCCACCACTACGTGATGATTCTCCTTGATCTTGCGGAAGTCGCTGACATTGCAGGCAAACACCTTGCACTTCACACAGAGCAGCTTCATCCCCTTTCCACGGACTTTCCTGTGTCAAAAATGAAGTCGTATTCATTGAAAGATTTTCTGCTGCTTACTGTGTCTTATAATGAATCACAGTGGAAAGACACATTCAAAGTTCGCAGGATATATCCAAAATTGTCAAAATCATGGTCTTTCATAGACGTCCTGTGAGTATGTGAAGTGGGTGAAAATGGAAGCATGAAGTGTAACAGAACGTTTTCAAGACACAACTGAGGTTACGAAAGCAGAATTCAATCACACCTCACCAGAGTTATAACAATAGGCTGAAACCTACTTGGTTTTCCTCTCTAACTCCTTCAGCGCCTGCGCGAGATCTCTCTCTTTCTTAGACTCCAGCTGCAGACGCCGGACCTCCTTCTTGAAGTCGCCATGTTTCTCCCTCTGCATGTGCCACACCTGGAGCATGGCCTTCTCCATCAACTTCTCCCGGATAGTGTTCAACTGGGATTGAAAAATATTTTAACGTTGTATGAATGGCCTTTGAAACATTTCATCACACAGTTCTTCCAGTTTATGTGAGGATATTCACAGCAGAATACTAGTAATTCGTTCTTGCGGTCAATAGTTTTTAGTTAAGATTTTTATTTTTGTGCTTCTTTTACCACTGAGAAAACAGAAAGTATGCCTTAAGATAGCATTTCAGGTAGTAATAGCCATTGTACCTTCTCCTTCAGGACATTTCCGCCTTCTCTTCCAGCGATCAGTACAGACTTACTGCCCTCAGCACGACCACGTCCTGTACAAAAGAGAAACGGTTATCACCTATAACGTTATATCATCTTGTTCAAAATGCAACAATATTCTGTTCGTTTGGCCGAATGTTTTGCCGACGTTTTCGCATGTCAATGCCAGTAGGAATTTTTGTACATCAACATGTAGTTAGGTGAACTTACCTCTGGTCTGCACCTTCCCTATCTCGTTGCCTACATAGTCATAGCGGAACACGAAGTTGCACTTCTCGATGTCTATGCCCTCCTCTGCCACGGAGGTTGAGATGACGATCTTGTGGCCTCCAGTGGTGAACAGCTCCAGCAGCTCCACCTGTTGATTTTGGGTCATGCCTGCAGTCAACAGGTATAATGTGTTCAAGCCTCAAGAAATAATCCATCACACCGCCTCCACTTCCGTACTTTCTGACAGTTTGACAGACTGATACCAATGTTTCCCATACAATCTATATTACAAAAAGAAATGGGTTTCTTTCTATTACTAGTATTCTGAGCTTCTGGCAACATATATAGCTTTACCTTCTGTGACTGTTTAAACCACATTGTTGAATGGACAAAGATCATGTGGAAGCATATGCCGTATGATGAACTGGTCAAGAGTCAAACAACAAAAGTGCGTACAACAAAAGGCAGAGTTATCACCTCCTGTGCTCTCACTCGCTCCAGCGCCGACGAGCCGTCCCGGGTTGAGCTTGCGGAGGGCCTCGTCCTCCTGCATCCACGTGAGCAGGGCGATGGTGAGAGCACGGGTCTTACAGAACAGCAGGCAGCGGGAGTCAGGCTTCTCTGCGTACGCCTGGAGGATCATGTACTTCAGCTGGTCCAGCTTCGGGTTGGAGTACTTCTCATCTGCAGCATAAGTCTCGAGCCTCCCCCTTTGCCTCTGCCAACGATAATACAGGTCCACGTCAAATTACGGTGACTCTAATTCCCGTTGATTTAGTACTGATAGTATTTAGTACTGACGAAGCATATTCGCCTAAAGCATATTCATTCTTAACAAATAATTGTAAAAGTTGACACAAATTTCTGCAATTTGCGATGGCAAGCATGATAATTTTCATCCTGTTCATCCTTCTGTCTCGAGAGACAATGGAGACCGTGTCAGTTTCTTCACCTGATTGAGGAGAGTTGACACGGTGGCCTTCACTTGGATTTGTGTAAGGTGGATAACAGGTTGCAAATCTGAAACCCACACACTTTGCGCATCCGTATTCCTATTTCCATCCATTGTGCCATTAACAATACCTTCTATTAGCAAACTTATGACACTGTATATACACAGTAGAGTTCTCAGAATGATTCATTTAAACAAACATGACGGTCCTGCCTACCTGTGAAGTGCTTCACCAGATCTCTATCGGTGCCGTCAAACCCCTCTCTTTGCAGACCAGCCACAAACTTATCCAGGTACTGCAGGGCGTCCTTGGTCCGCGCGTCGGCGTTGATGGCGAGAGCATCCGTGTACTTCTGCAGTAGACATAGCATACCGTATTCTAAACGTTCTTGTACCACTGAGGGGTTATGGGAAAACGTATGTGGTGTACGAACGTATTTTGAACCCTGTCCTAACATCCATATCAAGTATCATGCTTCCACACAAGAGGAGCAATGAGACAGCATCTGGCAGCACTTTGGCAGGTAGAAAGTTACATGAGAAAGGCAAGGGAGCCTAACTAACTTACTTCTACGTCCTTTTCATTAAAACCGGCTCAATGAAAGGTCCTGCAATACAACATATGTCTGTTATGACAGCATGTGGTCTCTGAATGACTACCACACCACAAGGTTTCACACTTGTCGATTCAACACGCTGATTTCCAGGACATAACTTAATTAATTAAGTAAACTTACTCTGAGGTGGTTTGTAGCGGCGTGGATGACTCGGCTGATTTCATCATTCTGCAGTGTTGCGCCCTTCCTAGCCAGGGTCACCACCCACTGTTCATACGCCTGCTTTTCCCTTTGCCGCGGTGGCTTCAGGTCTTCTGGTGTCAGACGCCTTGACGCTGTGGAAAAAGAGAAGCATAATTTATGAACCACTTCTCTTCTGCTGTGTTTTTCAACACTTAGTTTCTCACCATACATACGTGTTGACATTAATATGCATGCCATTTCAAATGTCTTTGAAAGGTGAAAACAATATCAATTCTCATAAGCCATGGCAATGGCGATAAAGCAAGTTATCAGAACGTCCCCCGTCTCACCTTCTATAGCCAGGGTTTTCTCAATGTCCTCCATGATGTTGTGTATCACATTTGCAAATGGATCTTCCTTTCGTCCACTTACAGCCTTCACTTCTGTAAAACCAAAGTGATATTGGAGTAAGATCTACATTGTAGTAGTGTTCACTGCAGATGCTGTAGTTGACTTTTGTTTTCATACAAAGAAGCGGCCATCTATGTGAAGTGACAGTTTGCACTGTTTGAGTTGAAGCTATTCTGAGTGGACAGAGCAATGGTACACGAGTGAAAACGTTTACCTTCGTCTGGTTTCTGGTTATATCCCACGGAGTTCATCTTGTGCTCCACTACCTCGGGAGATCCACTCTGCGTCCAGGTTGGCGCACGCCTTCAGGATATGTTCCACCGCGTCCTTCTGACTCTTCGCCTTCCCAACGCCCAGAGACGCGGTCAGGCCGATAATCTACAAAGATAGTGGAATGGGAACAGCATGACACCTGGTAGATGAAAGTCACTTAAATGTAAGTAGGGTCAATTTATTTGTTTTGTAAATGGAATGAAATGTTAAACTTCCTCTGGGGTAGTGGTGGTGTACAAAAAAGAGCATGTTTAAGGAGATGAAGGCCATCTGTGATTGGGATACTTTACCTGTGGCAGCCTGGTTCCGCTGTCCTCCCCCCACTTCTGCTTGATGTACCTGGTCATGATGGCGTTGTACGGGTCGTTCTTCTGGCAGTGGTGACACTCGTCAAAGATGAGCATGGAGAAGGTGTCCAGCGTGATGAGTTCGTCCCTCAGGGCGTTCTCCAGCACCTGCGCCGTCAGGATGATCACGTCATGTTCGGGCAGAGTCTCTCCGACAGGGATGTCGGCGGCAGTCTCGCCGCTCAGGGGTAGAATGTCGTACCTGGACAAAACAAACGAAAATAACGGCTAACTTGCCTGAGGATTGGCTGCTTCACCACCCTTCGTTTTGGACAAACGCGTAGTGATTTATAGAACTACTTTATCAGCATGACCTGTACTTAGCTTGTAAGTAGCTTGGTATTTCATTCGTTTATCTGCGTCTCCCTGAGTTTCGAACACCCGGTTTCAATCCTCCGGCGGAGCGCCATGATGATCGCTACGCTCGGTGGTTTATTAGGTGATTAGTGAAACCGACTTAAATTAACAAAAAAAAAGCTTATTTTTTTATATGTCCCAATCTAAAATGATCTAAGATGGATGTTAGTAAATGTCCCCTTTGTCTATCAGGTTGTCGATAATTGCGGTACTCACTTGGGGCTCAGGTACTCCAGGAACGCGTTGCACTGCTGTTCTACCAGCGGTACCTTGTTCACCAGGAACACCACACGTCGCTGTTCGTCTACGCCTGCCCCCTCTTTGGGAAAGAGAATTCTCTGTTAAATGGGTTTTCCATAAAGACTTTAAGATACGGAAGTTGTGACGTAAGTGTTGAAGGGCAAATATGACATTGAAAAGAGTACAGATTGAGAGCAAAGCTATGGATTTACGATCATAAGGTGCTCTTCCTTCTTCCTGTAAGTTTCTGCCACTACCATCTTCACTGAATAAAACTAGCAGGTATCGACTTATGGGTTACTTTTGGTTGTAGCACCGTCTAGATGTTCCCGAGTAATTTTAATGGCCACGCGAGTCTTGCCACTCCCGGTAGGTGCACAGATGATGGTGTTCTGTCCCTGCAGTGCTGGTAATGCCAGCTCCATCTGGTAGCCGCGCATGGGGATGTCCTTCAGCTGTCGTTGTTCGGGAGGCGGTTTCGCGGCCTGCAGAGGCGTCATCTTTTCACCCCCTGCAAACAACGGCATGAATGTACCAGGTTGTTTGAATTTTTCGTATGATTTTCCAATGTCGTCGGCACGTGTTAGAGAGCTTTACGTTTACCATTGTTTTCAGAAAAGTTGAAAAAAAAGCGAATTTTCAGAAGTGTTGTATTGGTGTGACAAGGTTCTGACTAGAACATGATGAGTTTACTTAATATTAGTATTCAAGCTTATATGTAAAAAACATGGAAATGAAAAATGTGTCTACAAAGAATAAAGTAGAATCTGTCGACTTCACACTTTTTTTTAATCTCACCTTCTTCCTCCTGCTTCTCAGCAACTTCATCTATACGGACTTCTTGAAGGGCCGTTGTCACCGATTGTACCACGCCGTTTGACGCGGTCAGGCCATTTGTGGTTACCGCCTCTACCGTGGTCGAGAGGACAGCTGTGTCGTCCTCTGAGTCTGCAGCTGTTATGATAACATTGATAACATAAGAGCCTTTTTTTCATCTCGATATCAATATCAATGCTCTCTGAACCTAATGACTGGAGAGGAGAATGTAGTGCTAACTGTGCAAGCTTTTTTGAATGATTAGTCCATGTATTTTAATTTGAATAATTAAATTCTTCTAAGAGCATGAAAAATAGCTGTGCTTGTACGTGTACAGCGTTTGTGGACCGACCTGACGGTGATGCATAGCACGCTGTCCAGGTTCGATTCCCGTCGAAGCAGGTTTTTAGTTTGACCTCTACAGACTGTAACTAATACGTAAATTGACTAATAAATGAATAGCTAAAGGTCTACGTGAATCTTCTTACAACCTGTTGAGTCTGACCGGTCGCCCTCCTTATCTTCACCTTCCTTTTCTTTGTCATTCTTGTCCCCAGAGATGTCCTGGGCGCCCCCGTCTTCTATTGATGAAAATGATAAAATGATTCTATTTGACATGTTGAAGTTTAATCTGCTGTAGGCTTTTGTGTCTTTATTTAATCTTGTTACAATTGAGAACCAAGACTATCAGAATATACTAGTAGTTACGCAATATGGCAATGACTTACTACTTGTACACAAAATACTGGTCCATTGTGTCTGTTGCAATGTTGGCAATGATTAAGTCAAGACACTTAAGTTCTTTCAGTTATAAGTGTTTTTTTTTTATTTATTTCATTTTGACTTTATTCCAGCAATATAAAACAAGACGCTCCAAAGTCCAGTGGTGCTCAGTTCAGTGCGTTCTGTCAGCCAATGCAGATTGCAATGTTACAAGCCCGTAGGACTGTGTTCGTTGTGACATTTGGCAAAAAGTCAAGTCCCTCATTCCTCTACATCCCTTACCTGTCTTAATGTCTTCCAACTCAGCTGCGAGACCGCAGTACCCGTTCCTCCTCAGCCCCTGCAGGAACTGTGTGTACCAGCCCGGCTCGCAGCGCGTCACACGGTCCAGCAGGGTGAGCAGGGCCCGGGAGTTTCCATGGTTACGGTTATCTGCCATGATTTGCTCCTGCGAGAGAAATGGCGTTAATTTTTCTCGGGTTGTTCCGAAATTGAACATAAGCTGAAGCCCTACATTTGTTTGAGATTTAAAACTGCATAGGGTACATTGATAAATTTAGGTTTCGTAATTTGAATGATTTTATGATTGATATTTTGACAATTGGTAAATTAATGTCCGGACTTTTTTTCTTGTTCTGTTAAGTAGTATATAGTCGACACGCTGCTATTATTTATTCAGGCGGTGCAGGCGGTGCGAGGCGGTGCGGGTCAGAGGTCACCGCCATTATGCTAAGGATATGCATATGTATGCAAATGTAGACGAATGTATGCAAATTTTTAGCTAATGAGCTAAATTGCGGGTCAGATAAAGGTCAGTGTGCACTTTTGACCCCGGTAACCTGGGAAACCTGTTGTCAAGGCAACGATTTTTGAAGGATGATACCACACCTACCGACATTGTTACTTTGACAGTAAGCTATTCAACATGACAGCGGGACCGTCGGGATTGCATCATGAAGTGGGGGCGTGGTTAAAGTCAACGTCTGTAGTAGCTGATTGGCCGCATGGCAAGCGTTGGTGACTTGTTCTGAGGATCTGGAGTAGTCGATTGGTCTGCATGTACTTTACATGTGAAGTAGGTGACGTACTTCACGGCGATTGTTGGAAGGTCTGCGAGTGTTGGTCAGAAACCTGTATAAAGTGGCAACAGAAACCGGCGAGAAACCAGTCCCACTTGCGAAGACAAATCTACGTCCAAGTCCAAGTCTGTCGACAGCGAGCGAAGATCGAGACCGAAAAGCCATGGCACATCAGCAGAAGAAGCAGCAGCAGAAGCGCAAGTCCTCACTGGTGTGTGTATGTGTGTATGTATGTATGCGCGCGCGTGTGTGTCTGTGTATGTGTGTGTATGTATGTATGGGTATGCGTGTGTATGTGCATATATACATGTATCGATATACATATATCGATATAAACGTGTTGCTCCGGAGTAAAATATTACTCCGGAGTAAGTATATTTGGAGTAAGATATTACTCCGGAGTAACTATTACTCCGTTTGGAGTAAAATTTTTACTCCGGAGTAAGTGTATTTGTAGCAAGTAAGTATATTTGTCATGGTTGTCCGTATCGTGTATCCTCACATGCATGATGTGTAGATATATCGTATATGCATATACATAACCGTCGGAGTGTGTGCGCGCGCGCCTGCGTGTGTGTGTATCTATATACATATATACATAATATATATATATATACATATATTGATATAAACGTGTTGCTCCGGAGTAAAATATTACTCAGGAGTAAGTATTTTTGGAGTAGATATTACTCCGGAGTAACTATTCCTCCGTTTTGGAGAAAAAAATTACTCCGGAGTAAGTACTTTTGTAGCAAGTTAAGTATATTTGTCGTAGTTGTCCGTATCGTGTATCCTCACATGCATGACGTGTAGATATATCGTATATGCATATACATAACCGTCGGAGTGGGCGTGTCTGTGTGTGTGCATATATATATATATATATATATATATATATATATATATATATATATATATATCGATATAAACGTGTTGCTCCGGAGTAAAATATTACTCCGGAGTAAGTATTTTTGTAGTAAGTTAAATATATTTGTCATGGTTGTCCGTATCGTGTATCCTCACATGCATGATGTGTAGATATATCGTATATGCGTCGGAGTAAATGATTACTCCGGAGTAAGTGAACTAGTGGTTCATATCCATGTCACGTATGTTTGTGTCTCATGCGTGCATACATCGACACAACGACGTAAAAGGTAGTAGGGTTCGTCACACTTTATTGATCACTTATAGGTCAAGACTGTTCCGAAAATACTCGCAAGACAGCGTACGTCTTGTCATGTAGGTATCATTGTTACATTAGGAATAGTCGTCCTATCGGTAGAAGGACGATGCTGTATTATTTCAGAACGAGGTAGCCGTATTTTTTCATCAATGTCTGCTCTGGGACCCAGTTCTTGCTGTACTCGATGTTGTAACCGTAACGAGGCATGGCAGCAAACTCTACAAGATAAAACTTTTTGCCAGCGCGTTTTGTCTCTTTG